TTTCACTCCCTAATAAACAAGGGTAGAGAGAAAGACAGTGAAGGAGAGTGGCACAAACACATGCAAATCCCATGGAGATGAACCTGTTGACAAAGGCACTCTGAGGACTTCAGGAGCAGTGACTTCAAGAAGGTGCTGGGAAGAAGCGGGTGCTATGCTACCATTGGCCAAGGAGGGTATAATGATCAATCTCTCCTGCCTTGAAAACTGTAGGGAATCCAGGGGGAGTATCCTAGGCTCATAGATACAGAACTGGAAGGGATAGCCATCTAATCCAACCATCTCATTTTACAGAAAAGGAAACTGAGGTTTCTATAGGTTCAGTAAGTTTTTCCAAGTCAGGGGTGTGGAACCTGCAGCCTTGAGGCCTCATATGGCCTTCCAGGTCCTCGGGTGCAGCCTTTCGACTGAGTCCAAGTTTTACAGAACAAATCTTTTTGTTAAGGGGATTTTTTCTGTGAAGTTTGGATTTAGTCAAAGGGCCATACTGAGGACCTAGAGGGCCACATATGGCCTGGAGGCTGCAGGTTCCCCACCCCTGTCCTAAGTCAAATACATATCAAGGAACAGAGAACTATTCATTTCTGTGTCTTTATGTCTACCCAGAGATACAAGGATATACACTGGCTGAGATGTGGCTCTCTTCGCTGCTAAATTATATAAATATGATCAGAACTAATGACTGCTTTAGCAATCATTCATGAGACTCCTCTTCCTGAGTTCAAATCTGACCTCAGACATTTACTGGCCGTCTAACCTGGGCACATCACTTATTTATCCCTGTTTGCCTTAGTTCCTCATCTATAAAACAAGCTAAAGGAAATGGCAAACCTTGGTAGTATCTTTGCCACAAAAACCCCAAATGAGGTCACGAAGAGTCAGACATGACTGAAAAATGACTGGGACTTTAATTTTCCCTGTAATACAGGAGAGTATTTGTGTGAGCCCTACACAGCTCCTGGTGTCTATAAACATTTGTTTCCACTACTTGAGCAGCTATGCCACTAACAAACAGCTAGTAAGCCTGAAACTCTGTTTCCTAATTAAAAAAGATAGATGTCCACTCTTTGTTACTAGATTCTATCATTCTCATTAGCTTAAAACACGCACACACACAAAACGTGCATCTATTAAGCACCTACTTTGTGCCAGGGGCTATGCTATTCATTTTGCAAATATCTCATTTGCTCTTCACAGAAACTCTGGGAGGGGTGGTAGTGGTAGGTGCTGTTGTTGCCCTCTCATTTTACAGATGAAGAAACTGAGGCAGACAGTAGTCAAATGACTTGCCCAGGGTCACATAGCTGGTAAGTGAGGCCAGTTTTGAACTCAAGTCTTCTTAACTCCAAACCCAAGGGCTCTATCTACTTTGCCACCTAGCTGCTTCTCTGCCTGGCATTGTGGAATTAATCTGGGGCTCAGACTAAGTGGGTCCTGTCCTTCCCTTGTTGATGGTTCATTGTATGTTGGAAAATCTTCATTGGTGGTGGTGAAGTGGGGTGGGTGGGTGAGGCAAGGGGGTGCCAGGTAAGGGTGAGATACCTTATCCTAGCTGAGGTCAGGAACACCAGGCATGGGATCTAGTATGCTGGAGTCAGTAGAACCGGACTAAGAAACTGGTTCTGGGCCAGGATCATCACTGCCTGTTTTAATATCTGCCTTGTCTACATCCCAATATAGGGACTTCTTTACCACCAATTCAATTCAGTTCTGTTCAAGAAATATTTGTGTTATAGTTAGCATGAGGGATAGTGGTAGAGAGCTGGCCTCAGAGACAGGAAGATTCAGGAGTAGGTCCTGTCTCCAACAAACTGGCTGTGACCTTGGGCAAGTCAGTGCTCTAGATATTAAACACTTAGTAGGTAGACAGCAGAGTAGGTCAAGAATCAGATTAAAATGTGATTGGGAAATGTTTAACAAAATAAGAAATATATGAAACATTGATAATTTTACTTTTTTGGGGGGGAGGGGAGGCAATTATGGTTAAGTGACTTGCCCAAGATCACAGAACTAGTAAGTGTCTGAAGCTAGATTGAACTGAGGTCTTCCAGATTCCAGGACCAGAGCTCTATCCAGATTATAATATTTGTAAAGGACTTGGTATAAAGTTAGCCATTATTACAAAAACACAGCACAAAGTTAATAAATATATACACAGATATAGATATAGATATAGATATATTTGTGTATATGCACATATACATATAAGGTAATTTGGGAGGGAGGGCACTAGCAGTTGGCAGATCAGAAAGGGCTTCCTATATGCTCTAAGCTTTAACCACATTGGATATATTAGAACATTGATGTTCCTAAGGACACTCTGGGCTTTTCCACCTGACTCCTTTTAAGCAATGTCTTTTTCCTCCTGAATCTCAATAGTCGATAAACACTTATTAATGTACCAGGCACTTTGCTAAGTGCTGGGGATACAAATATGAAAAAGAAGGATAATCCATGCCTCAAGGAGCTTACAGTCTAAAGGGAGAAGACAACACAAAAAAGAAAGCTGAAAAGGAGGCAAGAGGAGGTACCCAGGGGCATGGTAGAGAAGTAAATAAAGTCAATAGTAAGTGCTGCTGGGTGGGAAATGAGGAGAGATCTGAGCATATGATGAACCTCTTCATGACATTATTGTACCTCCCTAATGTACTTATGAATGGGTAGGTAGGTGGTGGAGTGGATAAAGCACTGGGCCTGGAGTTGGGAAGATCTGAGTTCAAATCTGGTCTCAGACACTTACAAGCTGTGTGACCCTGGGCAAGTCACTTAACCCCTACTTGCCTCAGTTCTTCATCTATAAAATGGGGACACACTGGAGAAAGAAAGGGCAAACCACTACAGTATTTTTGCCAAGAAAATCCCACGGAATTACAAAGAGTCAGACACAACTGAACAATAACAATGTACTCATATAATATTAATATTGTACTTATTTATGATTGCATCCTATCAGACTGTAAGTTCCCTGAGGACAGGGATCATACGTTATCTAAAATTCTTATTTTCTTCAGTGTCTAGCTTAATGCACTGCTTTTAATCTTTGAATTGAATTCCTTTAAGGCTCAATTCATCAGTTAAATCTTCTATCAAGCCTTTCTTGATGTCCTCAGCTGAAAAATTTTTTAGAGCATTTTTATCTAGACCTCCCCTTTATTATTGTGCCTTATATTACAGTGGAGAAACATCATGACAGTGGTATACTGTAATGTATAGAAAGGTGGCCTGAGAGTCCAGTTAAGACCTAGAATCAAATCCCACCTTGAATACAAATTGACTGTAAAATGTAATGTTTAAAAAGTTTGAGAGATACAATTTCTAAGTAATTAGTTGTTTTTATTAATAATGCTAGCATTTTATTAATAAAAGAAATCAGTGGCACTCTTGAATGCTAAAGACAATCATGGTGGTGGGCTCATGGCTTATATATACCCTTGGAAAAGTGGGTGTTCCAGAGGGTGGCAACCAACTCTGACTGGTTAACACTTAACGAGATAATAAATATTACAATGGGAAGAGGGCTCACTCCAATGAGGGAATGAGAGAGTGACATCATGTCAGTCTTGGACAAAGAGACTGTTTCTACACTTAGACCATCTGAAGCTTTGGGCATTCTAGACAAAGGATCTACTTCCACCCAAAAGTGCCTGAGTGAAACACAGTGGGCAGGAATCCACCAAGATAAGATGGTCTAGTTGGGGTAAATTTTTGGCAGAAGTTAATAATATTCTTCAAAGGCTGGGCTTTTAACGAGAAAATGAGGACTTTAGAAAAAAGGAGGAACTCTGGATCTCCCCACATCATTGGTTATTAATAATAATGTCTCTCAGTGATCCTGGGCAAATTTCTTAATCCCTCAATGCCTTTGCAAACTCTCTAAGACTAGAAATTGGAGAACAATTGCAAATCTTCATTGGTAGGAAGTTTCCTTATAGAAAATTTTATCTGACAATGAAATTAGAGGCAAGAGTAGCATAAAAAAATCATTCCTACTGCCATTAGATAATTCATCCTTAGACACTTTGATCAAATTGTTATCTTATTTTAGTTTTGCATCTTAATACCTAGCACAATATCTTGCACATAGTAGATGCTTAATAAATGTTTATTAAGTTGAAAGGTATTAAACAGGAAAAATGGGACAGGACCAGACAAGAAGACTGGTAGCACTGAGCTCAGTTGTCCTAAGTCTGGAATGCACTTGCTCCATTCTTCTTTCCACCTTTCAAATCTCTAACTTCCTTTAAGACTCAGCCCAAATACCACTTTTTATGTGAAGGGGGTTTGTTTGTTTTTGGGGAGGGATTTGTTCTCAGAGAGAAAAAAAAAACAAGCCAGAAGGTAGATAAAATATTATTTGGAGGGCATAGCTATACTAACCTTTGAAAAATGTTATTGTCTGTATTTTTCCATGAGTATTTTCTGTAAGCTTTCAGCTTCCCTTAAGGGGAAACTGTCAAAAGCCATCAAGCCATGTCTTATAGCAATGGTTTCTATGCATAGAGTCTATCAGCTACAGCCTCATTTAAGGGGGAACTGTCATTGTGGCCTCAAGACCACCAGGCCCAGTCTTAAAATTATTCTCTTCTCATGCCCGTAAACAGAGAGTTTTATAGGACTAGCAAGAGTCTACCTGGTCCTGAGCGTCCCATTCTATGCCTGCTAGGCTAGTGAGCAATTGTTCCAATGTTTGTCTGAATGCTTGTGTGTCCGTTTGGGTGAATATATTTGAAATTCTTTGCAAGGGCACATGCTGTAAGTAGATAAAAATTTCAGGTCACTTTTCCATTAGTCATTAATAAGAGACCCCAAGGGGAAAAAAAAAAAGGTAAGTAGCTTGTATTAATTATTAAGCCTGCCCTACGGACAACTATGGACTTTTACTTTGGAACCCATTTGGCCAGGGCACAAACGAGTTAGGTGAGTTACAATCTGACATGAATGAGTTACCTACCTGCAAGGCAGCTGCAGGCTGGGCTTTAACCAGATAATAAGGCCACTGCCTCTTGCTGAAGAGTTTACCCTTTCGAGAAGCAAAATCACCTGGAAAGGAAAGGCAGTTTCTCCATTGACTCTTCGATGAGGAAGGAACAGGGTAAGGGAAAAGGGGGAACTGTCCCATATTGCAGTTGCTTCATTGTCTGTTTTCAAGGTCAAGATTCCAAACTTGGAGTGAAGCCTTGACATTAACATGGGTCAAATAAAGGAAAATGGTAATTATCTCACTGACACAAAGGTTTCAGAGGGAAAGTGGAGGGTGGGTAGGGAGATGAGAGGAGATGAGAGCTGAGTCAAAGTCTTTTTTTTTTTTTCCAAAAACTGAAAATCTTGGGTTGGGGGAAGGGGCAGGAAAAAACAAAAACAAAAACATTGAAAGCTGAGTTTATCCCTGTGGGGATAAATCAGTGGATTAACCACCAGTAAAAAAACAGAACAAAACAAAATAAAAAAACATTGCATTTGTGTATTGATTTAATTGCTCTGGGCTAGAGACAGAGAGGAAGACCGAGACTCAGGTTTTAAAAAAGAGAAAGTCATGGAGTGGGAAATGATTGTTTCCATTGTTTGAAGCTTTAGAGAGTAGGTCCCCAAATCAAATGATGATCTAGCTGAGGCAGTTTGGGAAAAGATTATCCTGACCAGTAGCAATCTCTCAGATGTGAGGCATGATTAATTTCAAAGAAAAACAGAGGGTAGCACATTCAGGGCATCAGGACCTGGAAAAGCATGATTCAAGTTAAGGAGTATTTAATTTCAGAAACACATGTATTAGATAGAGAACGGTATCCTTGTGCTAATTTTTTTTTTATAAAGGCTTCATATAACTCCTTTTGCGATGCAAATAATCACCCCCGAGTCATTTGTTTGGCAAATTATTTTCTTCTTTTATCAGGCTTTCTTCAAACAGGATATGTGTGACAAATGTTTCTTTCTAAGTCTACTCTGCTTTTTGGGGGATGTGTTTCTTTGATATAGGTCTCTATAGCAGCATGAATAAGATATCCCTGCCACCATTTTTGAAGGGCTCAGTTGTTAAATATACTATTGATTTGATTCCTTTATGTCCAGTTGGCTCTAAAGAGAGCAATACCATGTCTGGGTACATATGGGGAGGAAACCCTATCCTTGCCCAGATTTTCTGCTCACATTGGATACATAGCTTATTGATCTTTTGAAGACACAACCAAAAGCCTCCATGGCCCTTGACTGATATAGTCTTGAAAGTGATTCAGTCAAATATTGACCCTGAGTTAGAGCTAATTAAAATAGCTTTGTCCTCTCATTGGAATGTTGGATATAATCCTTTGTTGTGGTCGCTGTTCAGTTGTTTCAGTCACGTCTGACTCTTTGTGACCCCATTTAAGGTTTTCTTGGAATGGTTTGCCATTTTCTTCTCCAGCTCATTTTACAGATGAGGAAACTGAGGCAAACAGGATAAAGTGACTTGCCTAGGTTCATACAGCTAGTAAGTGTCTGAGGTCAGAGTTGTATTTCAGTCTTTCTGACTCCAGGCCCAGAGCTCTATCCACTGTGCCACCTAGTTGCCCCTGGGATGTAATCCTTAGTGTGTACAATATGTTGGATAACTTTGCTTAACTGTTTTTCTTTGTTATATGAGAGGGTTCAGTGGTGGAGGTAGGTGGTAGAAGGTGATAGACGTAAAAAAAAATGACATAAAATGATAGATAATGACAAATTAAAAAAAGAAAGACATCAAGCAAAAAAGAAACTTATATGATAACTTTATTGTATATTTAAAAGAAATAGCAAGTTGTATGTAATAGATTTGTAGTTTCTTGTACAATCATCTTTTTTTCTATCCTACTGTGTTATGAAAATGATAGTTTTATTTTTTAAATTCAGAATAAAATAAATAATTTAAAAAAGATAGAACTTTTAAGAAAAAAAAGACTCCCAGGAATATTTTTGACTTAAGAAATCACAGGATGCATTTCAATTTTCTGAGTCCAGTCTGGCTCCACCCTCAGCAAGGTCTCTATATACCTTCTAGATGTAGCTATGAGTGGGGACTGCTACTCCTTTAAGTAGTTTATAGAGATGGGGACTGAGCTTTTGATTTTATGACAGTAGGCAGCTCCTGGTGAGGAATTTCCTCTACTTACGCAGGTTGGCATCATCTCTACAAATTACAGTCAGAAAACTTTTTGGAACACTGAGGGCTGAGTGACTTGCCTTACATGTTGGAGGCAGTACTTGAATCTTTTCTGGCAGTAAGGCCAGATCTCTAACCACTACTCCCTGCTACCTCTCTATAAAATCGTTTATAAAGCCTTTAAATTCAAATCAACAAGTAAATGGGAAACAGTGAGGTATGGAGGAAAAAGAACTGAACCTGGAACCATAAGACCAGAGTTGTAATCCCAGTGGCCACTTAGGACCTGTTTGGACTTGGGTGAATCACTTCTGTTCTGTGAGTTTCACACCATCTTCCCTCAGACTCACCACCTGGGAGTCATTCTGGATTCTTCACTATCTCTCACATTCACATTCAATATACTGCCAATGCCTCTCAATTTCACCTTTGTAATATCTTTTGAACAAGCCCTCGGCATTCGAAGACCTTCATAACCTATCCTAGCCCCCTTCTACCTTTCCAGTCTTATACTTTATTGCCTGCCATGTTCTCTTTGAGCTAGTGACGCTGGCTTTCTGACTTTCCGCAAACAAAACACTCCATCTTTTGTCTCTGGGCATCTTCTCTGGCTGTCTCTCATGTCTGGAACACTCTCCTTCCTCTTCTCTAACTACTGACCTTCCCAGTTTCCTTTAAGTTCCAACTTAAATCCCACCTTCTATAGGAAGCCTTCCCCAACTCCTCTTAATTCCAGCGCTTTCCCTCTGTTAATTATTTCCTATTTATCCTGTATAAATATAAATATACATATAAAGCTTACTTTATATTTTTTTTTGCGTGTTGTCTCCTCCCCTAGATTGTAAGCTCCTTGAGGACAGGGACTTTCTTTGGTCTCTTTTTGTATCTCTACCACACATTACGTGCTTAATATATGTTTATTGAATTGAATTTGTCCCATTTGTTAAGCATCTACTATGTCTTCACCACTGTGTTTCCATACCCTGGAGAGTGTATGGAAGAAGTAAAGATGTGGTCTTTGCTCTTATGGAGCTTATAATCTGGCTCAAACTATCACTCCAATACTTCAAGATCCAGGATTTTGTCAGTGTGGAAGCTCCTTCCATAGATACAGATCACAATCATTTTTATTACTTAGTAGATGGTGTTTGAGGCAGATAGATGGCACAGTGGATAGAGTGCTGGGCCTGGAATCATGAAGAATATCTTCCTAAGTGCAAATCTGGCCTCGAATACTTATTAGCTGTGTGGCCCTGGGCAAGTCACTATTTGCCTCAGTTTCCTCATCTATAAAATGAGCTGGAGAAGGAAATGGTAAAATTATTCAATTCAACCCCCACATGGGGTCATGAAGAATCAGACAGGCCTGAAAAATGACTGAACAGCACAGATGGTGTTTAAGAGGTACTGAGGTTGAAAAATCAAGCAGCCAATACTGTTACATATTGTTATATACAAAGAGGACAATACATAGTATTTGAGTGTCAGGTTCTGTGCATCCTAGGGTTCAAGGAAGAAAGATCAATAAGGCTTGGAGTAGTTAGGCTGGAGAAGAAAGAGCATGAGCTGGGTCTAAAAGGATCTTTAGAATTTTCACATGTCAAGAATAATGAGTTCCTTGAGGACAGGTACTATTTTTTGCCTCTTTTTTGTACCCCCAGTGATTAGCTTAGTGCTAGCACATAGGAGGCATTTAATAAATGTTTATTGATTGACTGCCTGAATATGCCAGACTTAAGAATGATTATGGATATTTAGGAAACCAGACTGTCTACACCAGACAGTAGCTATTGAGGAATACTGGGCATGGGGGAAGGGAGGAGAAGGGAATACACATTTATTAAGTGCCCACTATATTTCAGGTATTGTGTTAAAGACTTTACAAATATCATCTTATTTGACCCTCACAACAACCCTGTGAGGTAGGTACTAGGATGAAAGGCTACAAGGCAGAGAATTGTTAGAAGGTAAGAATGTGGTTCATTGTGGAATATTTCTTCTGAGAGCCTACCTGTTCCCTACTAATACACTCATGTGGGATGCCCTTGATACACACACACACACCTTTTTTTTTTTTGCTGATACCTATGATTTCATCATTGTTGGGAGCTCCCAGTAAGGAACTTCTCCTACAAAGGCAGATCAGCATTTGCTCTGCAACTTATGGTCTTACAGAGTGGCCTGGGTCACTGAGAAGATGCGTGACTTGTCCAGGGTCATACAGCTAGTATGTATCAGAAGTGGGACTTGAAGCCAACACTTCCTGGCACCAAGGCCAATTCTCAGTCCCCTGTATCATGTATAAGTCATGTATAAGCTATGTATACCTTATATCTGTCATGTACAAGTTATTCTCATAAGAACTTGTATGGCCAGGAAAGGAGGGGTAAGGATTACCCAATTCCCAAAAAATTTTAGTCCTGTCAAAACAGACTTTTTATTTCATCTGGGAACTTCAATGACTTCATCAAGAAGAATGTCAAGACCATCAGATGATTATTCCCTTCACTATCCTTAATGGTCAGTCTGATCCTTCCCCCAGTTGAAAATGATCTTTCCCTCTTTATATCTTCTGATAGCCCTTTGCGAGTTTCTCCTATTTTACCATATATCATACTCATCTTTCTCCCTCCCCCCCATTTCTCCCTTTCTTTCTCTCTCCCTCTTCCTTTGTCTCTCTTTTTATCTCTCCTCCCCCCTTTTCTCTTTTTATATATAGTAAATTTCTTTTGGAAATTCTTTTTCCACAATGAACATGACCTGACAGAGGTTATTATTGCTACCTAATTCACAAAGATGGAGATTAAAGCCCAAATAGAATTACAGCATATTTAGATATTCTCTTTCCCATAGCCTAGGGAAAAGTCTAATCTTGAAAAATCTAAGTCTCTTTGGTGATGTTCCTATTTGAATTTTTTTTTCTTTAAGCTTGGCACTAGCTTAGGGCACTGTGATGAAAAATTATGATACCAACTTCTCACTTCATTTTTTAGAATAGAGAAACTGTGCTACTTCAATCAAAATGGATGATGCTTACAATTACTGAGTGCTTTTAGGATGTCTCATCTATGTATACAAGATGATTGTCTGGCTATTCTCATTGATGAGTATTGAGATGTTCCTCTTGGCAGGTGAGTAAGGCGCTGTGTGGTTCTTTTCTGACATCTGGAGATTGCCAGCTGAGAAGTCTCAACAGATGACTTCGACATTTTATTCATTGTTGCAATCTATATGGAACTTCTATTTGTGAGATACTGTGTGACCTTTTGAGTATCACCATATATTTGGGCATCTGTGGCCAGGGGCACGATAAGCTCAACAATCCCCTTCACAAGATTCTAGCTATGGCGGCTCATCCATACAGGGAAGTACATGGTTGTCTCTCTTACTTTATGGTCCAATTTTCCCTCTTACCTGGTTCTAGGTTTGAAGTATAGCATGGCCAGAGGATGTGGCCATAATTCATTCCTTCACTCCACAAAACTGCCACTGGTTGTAGTGATTATACGTGGACACCATCATAATTTATCTTTCATTTGCACTAAGCCATTGGTTGTCAAACTCAAAAGTTAAAACATATGATACGATGACTTATGGTCAAAAGTGGGGCAGAATGTCATGGTGGAGAGGGCACTGGACTTGGGATCAGAAAGACCTAGGTTCTAAATCCCACTTCAGACACTTACTAAATGTGTTATGTTGAGAAAATCATTTAACTGCTCTGTGCTTCAGTTTTCTCATCTACAAAATGGGGGTAGAGGTATTGGACTTACTAGCATCTAAGTTCCTTTCCAGCTCTAAAGCCATGAGCCTATGAGCCCATGATTTAACCAGAACAATTTCTTTTGGTTTCCATTTTGGATGAGGTTAAGTACTTCCTCTCAAGTTTTCACCTTTTGCAGCCTGACTTGCCAAAAAAATTAATTAAATTTAAGAGGGGCATTCATGTAAATGTAGGCTCCAGAATTTAAAAAAAAATGTGACAGTTCCACTGTATGCCTTCATAAGCTGACCATTTTTAGAGTAATGTATTCAATTCTGAGAACCACATTTTAAAAGTTACTTCTAACCCTAGACCTGCAATCCTATGAATGGCAGATTTGAGTGTGTGCTAAGGAGATGAAGAAGAAAAAATTGTCTATTCTCCTATCTAATGCAAGCTGTCTAATCATTTTAGATGACAAATTTTGAGAGAGAGAGAAAGAGAGAGAGAGAGAGAGAGAGAGAGAGAGAGAGAGAGAGAGAGAGAGAGAGAGAGAGAGAGAGAGAGAGAGAAGATAAATGACAGATTGAACTGGCCTCTGTCTCTTACTTCTTTTCAGCATCTTGTAGGAATTGGCATATCATACCTGAAGAGGGCAGCATTGCTGGAGGAACATGGATCACCATTGTTTTTGATGGTAAGTGGGTCTTAGAGCCTTGGAGTCATAGAAGAAATAGGACTTTGAATTTCTTTTCCTATTTGAGGTTAGCATATTTAAGTACTAATAACACAGAAAAAATACCTAACCAAATATATGAGCAGAGGAGGGAAGGAAGCCTAATGGGTATACTATTTTCCCCCTTACCTATGGATTTGCCAGAACTGAGAAGGGTGGGGAGAAGGACATTTATAACAAGATGTGTATATATTTGAGGCAGCTAGCTAAGTCTGGAATCAGGAAGAACTTTGTTCAAATCCAGCCTCAGAATCTAATTAGCTGCGTGACCCTGAGCAAGTCACTTAACCCTGTTTGCCTTAGTTTCCTCACCTGTAAAATGAGCTAGAGAAGGAAATGGCAAACCACTCCAGTATCTGCCAAGAAAACCCCAAATGGAGTCACAGTCATACAAGACAGAAACGACTCAACCAGAACATGAGTATGTCTACATTCTGATCCCAGAATTTATTTATTTATTTATTTATATTTTTGGCAATTCGGGTTAAGTGACTTGCCCAGGGTCACACAGCTAGTGTCAAGTGTTTTGGTTTGAGGCTGGATTTGAACTCAGGTCCTCCTGACTTCAGGGCAGGTGCTCTATCTACTGTGCCACCTAGCTGCCCCCTGACCCCAGTATTTAATACAGGCCTGATACACATTCCCTATGGACCAAGACCATGTAATAGGTCCTTTGGTAAGATAAGAATATTCTTGCCCCAAGTGTAAAATTTTAATCCGGAAAACACAATTTAGAATAATAGCCACTGTCTGTTGCAGTTAATAAGGGACTTAAATGGGTCTATGTAGTAAAAAGGTTACTGGATCTGGGGCTCTAAGATCTGAGTCTGCACCCTGATTCCTCTGCTTTCTAGTTGTATGATCCTAAGGAAGTTATCTGACTTTCTTTTTTATAACCTTCATTTCCTCTTCTGTAAAATGGGGATGTTAATGCCTAGATTTCTTCCCTTACAGGGTTTTTTTGAGGACCAAAGGAGGAAATATAATAGTGTTCTGTAATTATGATATTAATAGTATATTACGCATATAGCACTTTCAGGTTTGCAAAGTGCTTTCCATAGAGCAGTATTTAATAATAATAACAATATTAGTAACCATAATTTATATAGCACGTTCAGGTTTGCAAAGTGCTTTCCATAGAGCAGTATGTAATAATAATAATAATAATAATAATAGTAACCATCATTTATATAGCACTTTCAGGTTTGCAAAGTGCTTTCTACATATGTCATCTCATTTGGTCCCCATATGAAAGGCAGTATGGATGGAATGCTTAGAATCAAGAGATACCTGAAGGTTTGAAACCCATCTTTGATGCTTACTAACTCTGGGCAAATCAGTAAATTTTCTAAGCTTCAGTGTCTGTATCTGAAAAGAAAAAAGGTAATAATACTAATGGCACTATTTACCACATAGGATTATTTTGGGGAAAGCATTTAGTGATATAGATTCAGAGCTGATACTAAATGTAAAATAATCTTATTAGAAGTGATTTATTGAGAAGCAGAAGGATATAATGAATAGAGGGCTTGTCTTGGAGTGAAGAAGACCTGGGTTTGAGTTCTGCCTCTGAAAGGATTTGACTGTATGACTTTGAACTAGTCATTTAACCTCTTAGCATGGCTAGACAACTAAGAGTATAAATTGCACAGTTAATAAACATTTATTAAGTTCCTACTATGTGTTAGTTGGGTATCTAGGTGGTACAGTTGATAGAGTGCCAGACCTGAGTTCAAATTCAGCCTCAAATTTGATTGTGTGACCCTGGGCATGTCATTTCATCCTGTTTGCCTCAGTTTCCTCATAGGTAAAATGAACTAGAGAAGGAAATGGCAAACCACACACCCCTGTCTTTGCCAAGAAAATCCCAAATGGGGTCTTGAAGAGTCAGACACGACTGAAATGACTGAACAAATGTGTCAGGCACTGTGCTAAGTACTGAGTATCCAAAAAAAAAAAAGAAAGAAAGATAGTCCCTGCTCTCAAGGAGCTCACAGTCTACAGGGGAGACAAGATGCAAACAATTATGTACAAATAAGAGACATACAGGATAAACTGGAGATTTTCAACATAGGAAAGACCCTAGCATTAAAGGGAATGAGGAAAGACTTCTGTAGAATGTGGGATTTTAGCTAGGACTTGAAGGAAGTCAGGAAGAAGAGGGAGAGCATTCCAGGCATAGGGAACAGCCTGTGAACATGACCAGAGCCTGGAGATGGAGAGTCTTGTCTGAGGAACGTTGAGGAGTCATGTCAATGCATCCCAGAGTACATAGGGCAGTGTGGGGTGTACAGTGTTAGAACACTGGAAAGTTAGAGGGGCAGGTTATGAAGAGCTTTAAATGTCCAACAGAGTGGCTCTGAATCTAACTTGGTAGAGGGAATTTTTTCAGAGAGTTCCCAACATCAGTCTCTCTCCTTGCCCTCCACTTTACCAAAACAGGTAATTTTTTTCTTCTATATACCTAAATTGAAAGAGTTATAATTTAGTACATGAGAACCTCCTCCTGAGATCACAGTCCTCTGTGCTGTTGAAATCTCATTTACAGATTGTCATAACTGTCTTACCTGACTGCTGTTAATACTGAGTAGCTTAATGATATTTTTATTTGGTGGATGGGATGTTTAGGTTTGGAGTGGAGTCTCCTTTATCCCACCAATGGCTCTCAGCTGCAGATAAGTCTGGTGAATGTGGAAATTCCGTGGCTGCCACATGTCCCATGTGACACCTCTCCCATCTATGAAGATTTCTCTGCTGTAAGATGCCAAACCAGGTATGGTTCCATATCACAAACTGAGGAGGAGATTGTAGTGGTTTCTTTGAGCATGTCACTGTTAGTAACATTGGAAATATAGTTTATGGCTTCTTAAAGTGTCTTTGGTCACTTTTTATTTAAAGTTTGATACCAGTAAACCCTACTACCCCAAAGAGTCAATAGTCTTTCTCTTTCCTGTCTATCCCTCACCATTAACCCCAAAACCTATCCCAGTTTTTCCCCCTTCTAAGTCATTCTATGCATCACTATCAGGTGAAGCTTCCTAATGAATATTACTCCTATCATTCCACTGTTCAAAAGCCTTCAATGATTCCCAATCACCTACTGAACATAGTCCAAATTCCCAAGATTGGAACTCAAAGGCTCTCTACAGTCTGGCTCCCATCTACCTTTTCAGTCTTGTCTTTCATCATGGCCTTTATGTTCTGCCAGACTAAGCCACTTGGTACTGCTGAACAGGTTTTGCACTTTTCTACTGAAATGAATGAAAAACCCTGAGAGACAGAGTTTCTAGGTGATTAATAATAAATTTATTAATTAGGCTAGCTGGCAATCAATAAATTGATGGTCAGTGGTTTCTCTCTCTAACCAAAGACACCATGTGGAGAGCCTGAGAGCCTTAAAAAACCATTGAAAGGGAATTCCCTTGGCAACTGAATATCAACCCTGATTGGTGGACGTTTAACGAGTTGGGCTAGAAGTCTTCAGCTCCTTCCGCTGAGAATGTGGCTGGATCTTGAGACTCAGAGGCCTCTAGCAATCTGGACAGGGGATCTATCTTCATCCAGACCACTCTGGTTGTTTTTCTCTTTTATGAGCTGGGTTACATTAAAGTCTAATGGAAGGATACAAGGACAGGGGTTCATTTCTCTAGGGTAAGAATGCACCCAGTCTGGACTCTGTTTATTCTTCAAACAGAAGTTAGGTCTCCTAGTTGGGTGGGATCCCACCCAAGATTGAAGAGCATGTTCCTTGAAGGCTAAGGGTATTAGGCTCAATCAATCATGTCCTTTAGAGATTGATTTTAACAAGAGCTGGGCCTTAATGAGGAAACTGAGGAGAAAGCCATGGATCCCAATTTAATAATTAGTTATTAATATACTAGTAAAATAGTAATTTCTCTCAATACCTTGGCATCAATATCCTCACTACCTTGCTCAATCCCATCTCCTTTTATTGAAATCTTATTTATCCTTCATGTCCAAGCTCAAATGCCAACTTCATAAAGAGTCCTCTAATCCTTTTAGTCTGAAATGATCTCATCTAAGCTCATAGCATGATATACTTTTCTCATATTTCTGTAGCATTTTAATTTTTGTTATGGTTTATCTGTGTATGTGTCTTAGCTCCCCTTCTGGACTGTGTCTTCAACAAGGGTAGAGTTTATGGCTTATTTATTTTTGTATCTATCTGTCACAATGTCGTATACACACTAAGTGCTTGATAAATGTTTGTTGAGTGAATCAATTCATTCATTGAATTGAGCCCATGACACCTATACATTCTTTAAAGTGTTCTAAGTATTTGACTAGGCTGTGCAGATTGGAGGAGAAGCTGCACTGTGGTATGTCACACTTTGAAATGTGTGGTTGGTAATATTTCCACAAACAGTATCCTCTGTGATTGTTTGTGACCTTGATTTCTCACCCATTGGGAAGCGATAATTGTTCTAACTATAGGTTATGACTGTATCTAGTTTCAAAGCCAAGAAACTGATTGCTAGGAAAGGAAAATGCTCTATTTTTCAGTTTTCTGAGTTTTGATCACTTTAGTGTAGAATGGATTTGCAAAGTAGTTTCATATAATTTAGCAGGCTTGGTAAAATTTCTACCAACCTATAAAGTTTTCATTGGTTCTTGATTTACGTATTATGGTCCAAGGCATGGTATATGAAAATGATAATGAGTAGTTCAAAGAAACCATTCCAGCACCTGTTTACTGAGCAAGAAACCCCCCAAAATGAAACAAAACCAAAAAAGAATTGAGCTTCCTTAAGGTACTAAGTTGGAAAATAATTCTTTGGCTATCAGTTTTCTATGCAAGATTCAGTAAAATGCAGTTCATCAAAAAATATATTAAATGCCTACTATATGTGAGATGTTTTATATTTATTACATCCTGATAAAATCCAATCTAATCCAAGAAGCAGGATCTACTGTACTAGGCACTGTAGGCATTGCTCATTGTTGTTCAGTCGTTTTTCAGGCACATCAGACACTTTCTGACCCCATTTGGGTTTTCTTGGCAGAGATACTGGAGTGGTTTGCTATTTCCTTCACCAGCTCATTTTACAAATGAGGCAACTGAGGCAAATAGGGTTAAGTGACTTGCACAGGATCACATAATTATTAAGTATCTGAAACCAAATTTGAATTCAAGAAGATGGGTCTTCCTGACTCCAAACCTAGTACTCTATCCACTATGCCATCTAGCTGCCCACTGGCACTGTGCATACAAAGACAAAACGGGAAATAGTCCCTGTCCTCAAGGAGCTTACATTCCATAGCATAGGATACAATATGTGAATAGTTAGAACACACTCACACACAGACACATACACACATTCATACATATGTGATTTAAGGAGGGAGGGAGCACTAGCAACTAGCCAAGATTAGGAAATGCTTCCTCATACATGAGTTGAATCTTGAAGGGAGCTAGGGATTGAAGAGGCAGAGGAGAACAGAAGTACATTCTGGATGTCAGGGACAGACAGTCTATCCAAAGGAGCAGGAGATGGAGTTAGAATTTTGAGGATCTGTAAGTCGTCCAGTTTGACTGGAACACAGCACACGTGAAAACGAAATGGTGTGTGAAAAATCTGCAGCCAGGACGTGAAGGGCTTTATATACTAGAGGAGCTCATTGTCTTTTGTGGGTCATAGAAGGATACAGATGAAAAAGTGGATAGGTGTGGTCAGAAAAAAGGAGAGCTCAGTAATGCTAATCTGGGGTCTCGCTTCCCAGGAGTCCAATTTTTATAGCCATTCTCAGCTTCTGCACAGCAAGAAAGATTGCTGATTAATTAGTCAACAGGTATTAACTGAATGCCTGTTATCAGCCTAGCAAGAATGTTTCAGCTGGATAAAATACAAGTAAAAGATGAGACAGAGTTTAGAAAAGGAAACAAGACACATAAAATTGTGGTGAAGAATTTTGTTGTTCAGTTGTGTCTGACTGTCTGTAACCTTATTTGGGGTTTTCTCGAAAAGATACAGGAGCAGTCTGTCATTTCCTTCTCCAGTTCATTTTACAAATGAGGAAACAGGGAAATGGGGTTAAGTGACTTGTCCAGGGTCACACAGCTAGTAAGTGTTTGAGGCCAGATTTGACCTCAAGAAAAGGAATCTTCCTGACTTGAGGCCCAGCACTCTATCCACTGTGCCACCTAGCTACCCATAGTGAAGAATACAATACCACATATAATTAGATCCTAAATTTATAGTATTGATTATAAAGACTAGGTTGCCAAGAAAGGTTACTTATGAAAAGTCAATCAATCTTTTCGTGTTGATCATATGAATATAATGAACATTGATTAAGTAAAACACTATGTTAAGCACTGGTGATACAGAGATAAAAATGAAATATTCCTTGCTACTAGGGCAGCTAGGTGGCTCAGTGGGTAGAGCAGTAGCCCCACAGTCAGGAGGACCTGAGTTCAAAGCTAGCCTCAGATACTTACTAGCTGTGTGAGCCTGGGTAAGTCACTTAATTCTGATTGCCTCCAAAAAATTTTTTGGGTACCTTTTTAGAGAATTCAGTTGTAATGTGATAAAGTCAAGACTTTCTCTTCACTCACTTTTCTAGATTTAGTAGAAAGCCTTAGGTAATAATTGTAAGTTTGAAGGATACTATCTAGAATCCTCTAGAATTCTTAATCATATATTCACTCTCAAGTAATGTGATACTACTGTCCCCAAGACTGAATCAGTAAATTTTCTGAAGAAACTGCCACATGTCTTTAGTGACTTAAAGCTCAGGTAGTGAAGTAAGGAACTAATATTTAACAAATATTTAATTTTTAGAATAAATTTAGTTACCAATGATATGTTTAAAATGAATTGGTATTTGGAAAAATATTATATAAAAGCTTCCATTCATTAAGAGATTTTTGAGTAACAGCTCTTTCATAGTGCATTAAAATTAATTTTTATTATCAACTTAAGAATTATCAATAAAAAGTTATCAATTAATCATACAAAGCAAGTGAGAAAATCTTATCCCACACCCACTGGTTTTAACAAGAGAGAAGCAAATACGTTAACAAACAATAAACTCAGCAAATAAAATGTTTTTGTTCTGTGTCCCCTTCTAGACCTGCACTATGTTTCCCTTCTTTCTTTTCTTCTTAATTATAGTCAAGGAATGTACAATTCTGCATTTGTTTTGTATCACCTTATCTAGATCTTTCTGTATTTCCTTGTATGTTTCATATTTTTATGATCATATGATAAGCTGTTATCTTACTATTCCATTAAGTCAGCCTTTTTGCAATTCTTGGACTCAGGATGTTTCTATTTTGTTGTTATTGACAAATAGAATATCTTTGAATATTTTGTGTAGATGGGTCTTTTTTTCCCTTTCAATTATTTTTATTTTATTTATTATTATTATTTTTTATTTTCATTATTTATTTATTTCAATTTTCATGATCACTATTTTTACTTTTAAGTAGTTATTAATTTAATTATTTTTATTCTTATTTTCATTTTAATTATTTTAAATTTTATTTTAACTATTATTATTTTTTTGGAGTACAGTCCTAGTAATGAAATTTTGACTGTGTCAAAGATAGGATCAATTTAATGAAATATTGAAGAGTGAAATGAACAGAACCAAGAGAACGTTGCATATAGTAGCAGCAATATTGTTCATTAAGTAACTGTGAATGACTAAGTTAGTCTGAGTATAATAAATACTCAAATCAAGTGTAAAAGATCTATGAAGGAAGATGCTATCCATATCGAGAGAAAGAACTGATAAATAGAAGTATGCATAGAATGTTTTTTCATATATATGTATACATACAGACATGCACACACACACACACACACACACACACACACACACACACACACACACATATATATATATATATATATATATATTTGTGTCAAAAGGCACCCTTTTCTAGTGTGGGGTGAGGAGAGAGAGAGGAAGACAGTTCAGAACTTCAAATTAAACAAAAAAATTAAATAAAAAAACTAATGACATTACATATTGTCATACTGCTTTCCAAAATACTTTCACCTGTCTGTGGTGCCAACAATAATGTATTAGTGTCTGTTGGAGCATGACAGCCCACTGCTGAATTTTTATTTTTATTTTTTTGTATTTTTGCTATTCTCTAACAGCTAATAGAAAAGAATGTTTTGCTAATTTTAGGTAATGGTTAAAACAAAGAAAACCAGATAAAGCCCTGGCAAGTCTAACGTGTTCTATCAGAGAATATGGGCTATATTTGGGAACACAGTTTTTTCTGAGCTACAATCAGATTTCAGTTCTTTCTCTGGATAAGGCAACTACGCTGTCCTCCTGTCTTGAGAGGGCAGATCCATCACCCTACCAGGTCAAGAGAGGAGAAGAATCTCATTCCGCTTCTTATTGCTTCTCACCTAGCTAACTTTGGCCAATCAATCAGCTACTCCTGCAGTTGAATTCCCAGCTGGGTTCTTCCTGCCTTTGGAAAATCATCATGTAAATAGAGGTCAGCTCTGGAGTTCAGTATAGTGAGAGAGCCAAAAAGTACTGGGGCAGGATCACCATAGCAACAAACTCCTCTGCTCTGCTGAAGGTTTATGATTCTGAAACATGCTTTCATCTACCTCTGGAGTTTACAGATGATGAAGGGGAAAACATTGAGCACTGTGTCTAATGAAGGACAGTTTTATTTGATTTTTAAGGTGATTTTGCTTTATAGCCACCTATTTTCATTTCTAATCATCTTCTTGCTGGCAAAAATAAACAAAACTCAAAACAACCTTTTAAAATTCCATTAATTAAAATCACTAAAATAATTGGGTTAATGAGTTGAAAAATAAAATACAGATTTATGAATGGATGAGGGAGTTTGAAGTGGTATCTGAGAAGATCCTGCCTTGTAACTCACTTGCAAGCCATTGCTGTCTTTTCACCTTCAGGTCTCTGCAGGGGGACATACAGGAAGGCCTGTACTATCTGGAAGTTCGTTCTGGTGCACAAGTGTTGAACACTCTGAGTGAAGGTTCCTCGGATAACTGTACTTTCAAGGTAAATTCTCGGATGGAAGGATGGGTCCATGGGTGCTGTCTATAGCACCTTATTCTACAGGATAAGGTAAACAACATCTGCTTTAGGAGAGGGCCCAGACCTCACATTATTGCCAACAGAATATAATATTTTTTCATTATTTCAAATTAATTTGATTTTTTTTCAATTGACAAAATTCTATCATCTCTCCACCTTTCCCCTGGCTATTAGAGAAGAAAAAAAAAAGAAAAAAAAAAGAAAAACTCATATAACAAATATCCATAGCCAAGAAAGACAAATTCCAACATTGACCATATAAATGTTTCATTCTCTATCTTGAGACCATCAGTTCTCTGCAGTATGCTTCATCCTTAGCCTTAAGTTTTTCCAAGTTATTTGTCTCGATGATGTTTTTGTTATATAAATGTTCTTTATTTTGGTAGTTGTCTTGTGAACAACAAGGCTCTGTCCTTGATTTCCTGATTCACCCTAACATTTTGTAAATAAAGGGGCTGTCAGTAAGTCAGGTCCTTCAGACCAAACATGGCCAGTGCCTTTGTTCAGTGTTTGAAAATCTATTCCTTCCTCACCTCTCGCTCTTAGAATCTCATTTCCTACAAAAACTACGGCTCCAGTGCTACCTTTTACAATAGGCTTTTCTTGATTGCCCTTAGAGGCCATTGCCTTCTATTCTCCCCCTCCAATTACCTTGTGCTTATTTTGTATATCCTTACACATGAAGCTTGGTATAGTGTATAGAGGGCATGTATCAGAGCATGAGAATCTGATTTCAAATCCTCTCTGACACATCCTGGCTGTGTGATCCTGGGCAAATTACTTGGTCTCTAGCTGTTTTGGGCAGCTCTCCAAAGATAGGATGGGAGCAATGTCACAGTGACAAAAATGAGTTTCCAGAGTCAAGGAGTTTAAATGGTGCTGCAGTGGTATTACATATTATATGCCCACAACTTTCCCTCTCTCTATCATTTCTCTTCTTCTATTTCTCTCCATCTCTTTCTTTTCTTTCTCTCTCTATCTCCTCTCTCTGTTTCTCCTCTATCTCTCTCCTTTTATTTCTCTCTTCCCTCTCTCCATCGCTTTCTGTATCTGTCCCTCTCAATCCTTTTTCTCTCTTTTTCTTTCTGTCTCTCTCCTCTCTCTATCTCCTCTATCTCTTTCTCCCTCCAACCTTTCCTCCAGTTTCTCCATCTTTCTGCCTCTTTCCCTCCCTCCATCTCTCTCTTCTTTCTCTCTCTTTGTCTTTGTCTCTGTCTCCATCTCTCTCTCTGAATATATAAGCACACATACACATGTTATATATGAGTATACCACATAAATATATTATATAGAGTATATTATATAAATTTATATTACATACATTATGTTTGTATTATATATATGTCAAGTATATGTGTATAAAGTGATTTCAGTGATGGATAAGAGGAAGCAATAATACCTGGAAGGCTCAAGGAAGACATGTAAGAGAGAGCATTTGAACTAAACCTTGAAAGAAGTTACACAATCTAAGGTTTGGAAATGAGGAGAGTGATCACTGCAAACATAGGGGATAGCCTATGCAAAGTGCAGAGACAGGAGATGTTTTAGTGTATGATAACAAGCAGGCCAATTTAACTGAAATGTAGAGAAAGTGTATGTGTGTGTGTGTGTGTGTGTGTGTGTGTGTGTGTGTATGTGTGTGGTGTGGTGTGAAATAAATTTGGAAAAATAGACTACAGTCATACACTGAAACGCTTTGAATACCAAACAAAAGGGCTTATGTTTTGTCCTAGAGGCCATGGAGAACCACTGAAGGGTCTTGAGCAGAGAAGTGACAAGGTGCTTTAGGAAAACTAATTTGGCAGCCGTGTGGAGGATGGATTGGAAAAGAGAATATCTAGAGTATCTTGCAATGGTTCAAAAGATGAGGTCCTGAATTAAGATGGTAGTCACCACCCTATATGAGTGGAGAGAAGGGAACTGATATGAGAGATGTTGTGGAGATAGAATTGACAGTCTGTCAGTCAGTAAGCATTTACTAGGTATATGCTCTGTACAAAGCACTGACAATTTGTGGTTCACAGAATGATTGCTAGGGATCTTTGCTGCTGTTCACTCGTTTCAGTAGTGTCCAACTCTTTACGACCCCTTTTGGGGTTTTCTTGGCAAAGATACTGGAGTGGTTTGCCATTTCCTTCTCCAGCTCATTTTACAAATGAGTAAACTGAAGCAAACAAGGTTAAGTGACTTGAATCCAACTGCCCCATTGAAATGGAGAACTGAGAATTTTAGTGACCTTCCCAGGGTCTCACAATTAGTAAATGTATAAAGTTGGATTTGAACTCAGATCTTATTGACTTCTAGTCTGGCACTCTACTAGATCATCTATCTGCCTTTATAAAGGCTTCAACTCTATAGTTTCATCCCTACCATACTTTTTAAAGTTGTTAGCAGTCCTCACTTCTTCTTGATTTCTCTTTTTCTTCTGATGTGTATATATAGATATCAGAAAGCATAACAAACCATATATATACATACACATATATACACATACATGCATATACATATATATGCATACATGCACATACACATACATATATACATACACATACATATATACACACACACACACTCACACACACACACACACACACACACACACACACACACACACACACACACGGTTTGTTAGGGCCTAGCCAATTCTTTGGCCTGACAGCTTTGCCTATCTGGCTTCTTCCTCTCCACTCTTGTCCCAACCTATACACACTAAAAAGATGAAAATGCTAGTGATGGCCATGCTTTATGGCCACACTATCACTATTTTTTTGCCTATCGGACATGCGGTTCTGAAGATGCCAGAAGATGGTCCTTAGCTTAAATAGCTTTATCTTTGGACTCCTCCTGCCTCTGTAATCAGGCTCTTACCAGCTTATACAATGATTGAATAGGAGACAGTGAGCCCAAACCTCCTAAAACTGCACATTAAAGTAAACAAGTCTTGCAGTGGTTCAACTAGCTTAGCAAGTTGATGAAAAATCACCAGGGGATGCAGTTAATGAGAGGCATTCTAAGCTAAATAAAACACAGTGTGTCTCTTTGTTTTGGGACTGGGACTGGGGGAGCCATGAGTATTAAAAATTAATTTCATCTCTCCAGTCGGTTCCAAAAAGCCTGCTGCAGGCACTGACAAGTTTGAACAACTCACAGAAGGTTTATCTATCAGTTGGTGATGGTGGCTTTATCAGTCTCATCTCCTGCTTTGCCTCCCCCTAAGCTTGTCTGCCCCTGACCTTACTTCAACACAGCCGATCAGCATGAGGGAAGTTGATTTGGAAGCTCATTAATTTTTTACTTGCCATGTCTCTGGCTTGGTGGGGGAGCAGGGGCCTGTATCTGTCAGAAATGTACAGTTTTTTATTGCGTCAACAAGGAGAGAATCACAAGTGTGATCTTTTTGGAGGTTTACCTATAAGTGCCGCTGAATGCTGGGATGACCTATGCCACCCCTCCCCACCTCCCTCAGAAGTTATGGGCGAAGAAAAAACCTAGATGTTGTTCTCCCTGTTTGTTTTGGTACTGGCTGGCTGGGCTAAGCCTCAGATACTAGTTTCATTTGTGTCTTCTACACAACACTTAGTGTAGGTCTTTGCATGTAGTACGCACTCATTACATGTTTGTTCACAATGAATGAATAACTCTTAAATAAAATTAATTAGATCGAAATACCAGATTGCTTGTATCACTTGTTTTGTATAGTATCTGCATAAGCATCAGTTTGGTGAAAAGGACATGCACTTGGATTCACAAGAACTGGATTTCAATTCTGGTTAGATTACTTATTAGCTGGGTGATCTGAGGCTAATCCCTTAACCCTTTGAGTTCATTCATCTATAAAGTTTAGCTCATGGGCCTGCAGAATTTAGAGATGTAAGGGACCTTAGAGACCATCCATGGTTATCCCTTCCACATCACAACTTTACCCATTGAGGTTTCGAAACATACATGGTTGGCATAAGAAATGGGAATTTGGGGGGAATTTTTGTGGAAGCCACAGATGACATGTAAAGGCCAGCAGATGACACAGAGCCTATGACAAAATACTTTACCCAAGTTTTATAATAAGGTGCTGTAAGCACCCCATAAAAGAAAAAGGAAAAAGAATTCAGTCTTCTCTGGTATGAAGGGAGAAGGGCCCATGGGGATTTTCCAGATTGTAGGGGTACCATGCCCCTATCCCCTAACCTTGTGATGTGGAAGGGATAATTGTAATTTAGTAGTTCTCAAAATGTGGCATCCTTGACACCCTTTCAGGGGTACGCAAGGTCAAAACTATTTTTCACAGTAACATGAAGATATTTTAATTTCCAATACAGTAAATATTGATAGATATAGCCCACTTAAAAGATTCTTGGTGGGGTGCAGGAGTGGTTCTCTAATTTTGAAGAGTGTGAACAAGGTCTAAAATTGAGAACTAGTGATCTGGTGCAATGGCTTCTCTTTCCAGAGGAGAAATTTGAAGCCTAGACAGGTGAAGTGATTTGTCCACAGTTACAGAGGTAATGAGAAACAGAGGCAGAATTCAAATCCGGGTTTTTTGACTTCTGATCCACTCCTTTTCCCACTACCTACCCCTTTGAAAATTGTGTTGTCATCAGACTCTCCCTTATAATTTAATGATTAAGTTCATAAATACATATTCAGTGCCTTGTTCACATAAGGCGCTGTGCTCATTATTGAGGCAGGGGGTAGGATCTGGTGGCTGGGGGGAAAGAAAAGACATACACAGAGGAATAAAGCAGTTTCTTAAAGTATTTCTAATCTGTAGAAAAGCAATCATGAAATAGTAGAAAGAATGCTTGACTTGGAATGAGAATTATAGTCAGAATTATAGCCTCGCAGTGCTAAGTGAATCAAACAAAATTTTATGTATCTGTAAATATAGAAATTTAAGTGTGTACATTTAGTAATCTAAATATAAATATATTAAAATATGTTATTATTTTTTCTGACTCCATACTTCAGTTTCCCTATCTGTGAACTAGGGATTCCAATACTGTTATACTTTATGATGTTACTAAGATAAAAGAGCTTTAAAATTCTTGGTCTGTGCTTGTCAGGAGGAAGCTTACTAGCACTGTATCCCAACAGATGATCTTAAATATGTGGTATAGTTGAAGCTCCCAGGATAAGATTCAGCTGATTCTTTAGAATTTTTTGGCCATTTTTTCGTAGTATAGACTTACAGTGTCTGGCTCCAGACAACTATTTGACTTGGGGTTGGAAAATCCTCTTACACCTCATTGAATCCCTGATTATCAGTGTATCCCTGAAACCCATTTTGGGGACTCTCCCAGCAAAAACAAGTTCTAGAGGGGCTAGGTTATGATACCCCTATTCTCTCATGTGCCTAATTAGCAAGTAAATGAAATTAGTGACAGGAACAAAAGGATTAAAAAAAACCCAATCAGCCTTCTCTTTTGCATTCCTGCTTTTATTATGCATATATGTTAGCAATAACTGACTAATTTCTCTCAGACTATTATAGATTAGTCAAATTTTCTTCTCTGGGTTGTGCTAATGCAACAAAGGGCTAGAGGTGTGGAGGAAAAAGAAAGGATAAGAATGCATGTGGATGTGGGAAGGAGTAGGGAAAGAGGAAGAACAAATGTATTTACACATTATCTTTGGTGAGATCAAAACTAATTCTAAAATGATGAGGTCAGATCATTCTTCCTTTGACCTCCCTGAATGCTAGCATTATCCATCAGTTACCAATTATCTAGCCTTTCCATTAAAAAGGAGAACAATCTTTCCAGTGAGTAGGTACTGTCTAGATCAATACTTGCCTAGCAGCTTTCTCCTTTGTTACAGTGCCTGTCAATTCTTGATGACTGATTAGAGGTATTGATTAACAACACACCGTTCTTTGCTGAGATTCTTTTTGGGAAGGTGGACTGCTGATGTGGTGTAAGCAGACCAAGGTAAACAGTGGTGCTGGAGTTTCTTTCACAAATTAAAGAATTCAGCAATTACATGTGGAGCAGGAAGAGGTTTCAGAATTTTATGGGACAGAGAAGTGGTCCAGCTAGGGGCAGCTAGGTGATGCAGTGGAGAGAGTTCAGGGCCTAGAGTCAGGAAGATGAGAGAGAGAGAGAGAGAGAGAGAGAGAGAGAGAGAGAGAGAGAGAGAGAGAGAGAGAGAGAGAGAGAGAAAGAGAGAGAGAGAAGGCCTTTCTTTTAAAATGTGTTTAATGAGCGGAAATTATTGTTCAGTGATGCTTGTTAATTGAAAAAAATTAAGAAAAAACTAGGAAAGACCACTGGACTGAGAGAGAAAAGTCTTGGGTAACACAGTGATTGGAATGCTAGGCCTGGAGTCAGGAAGACCTGAATTAAAATCTGGCTTCAGACATTTATTAGCTGTGTGACCTTGGGCAAGTCATTTAACCTCTATTTTCTTCAGTTTCCTCTACTGTAAAATGAGAATAATAATAGCACATATCTCCCAAGGTTGTTGTGATGATCAAAGAAATAATATTTGTAAAGTGCTTAGCACAGTGCACATAGTAGGCACTTAATAATTCTTTTTCTCTTCCGTCTTCCTTCTTTCTTTCTTTCCTTCCTTCCTTCCTCCATCCCCCCTTCCTTTCTTTCTTCCTTCTTTCTTTTCTTCCTTGTTTTTGATCACCTACTAATTAGGTCTGATAGCCTTCACTTCAAGAAACATTTATCAATTTAAAAAAAAGGAAAGAAAAGAAAAGCTCCACTGATTCTTAGGCTTTCCAATTTTTTTTAAAAATAAGAATGGGTGTTATATTTTGTCAAAATATTTTTCTGCACCTATTGTTAGAATCATGTGATTTTTGTTGTTTTTGTTATTGATATGGTCAATTATACTTAATAGTTTTCCTAATATTGAACCAGTCCTAAATCCCTGGTATAAATCCCATGTAATCATAGTGTATGATCTTTGTGATGTATTGCTGTAGTTTCCTTGCTATTATTTTATTTAACATTTTTGCATCAGTATTTATTAGGAAAATTGGTCTATAGTCTTCTTTTTCTGTTTTTGCTCTCCCTAATTTAGGTATCAAAATAATAGTTTGTCATAGGAGGAATTTGATAGGATTCCTTCTTTACCTATTTTTCAAATAGTTTTTTTATATTATTGGAATGAATTGTTCTTTAAATGTTGGGTAGTAAACATTTGTAAATCCATTTGGTCCTGGAGATTTTTTGATAGGAAGCTCATTTGTGGCTTATTCAATTTCTTTTTCTAAGGGTTATTTAGGTTTTCTATTTCCTTTTCTGTTAATCTGGGTAATTTATATTTTAGTAAATATACATTCATTTCACAGTCAGTTTTATTGGCATATAATTAGACAAAATAGTTTGTAATAATTGCTTTAATTTCATTTGCTTTTGTGGAGCATTCTCAGTTTTCTTTTTCTTTTTTTGAGGCAATTGGGGTTAAGCAACTTGCCCAGGGTCACACAGCTAGTCCATGTCTGAGGCTGGATTTGAACTCAGGTCCTCCTGAATTCAGGGCCAGTGCTCTATCTACTGTGCCACCTAGTTGCATCTTCACTTTTAATTTTTGATACTGATAATTTTATTTTCTTCTTTCTTTTTTTGAAATCAAATTAACTAATAGTTCATTTATTTTACTGTTTTTTCATAAAAACACTTTTAGTTTTGTTTATTACTTCTTTGGTTTCTCTTACTTTCAATTTTATTAATCTCTCCTTTGATTTCCTGGATTTCCATTTTGGTTTTTAATTGGGAATTTTAAATTTGTTCATTTTCTAGTTTCTTGTTTTTAAGTTACATGCCCAATTCATTGGTTTTCTCTTTCTCTCTTTTACTGATGTAAGTGTTTAGAGATATATAATTTCCCTTGAGTACTGCTTTGGCTGCATCCCACAAATTTTGGTATGTTGTCTCATCATAATTTTCCCACTTGTGAAATGAGAGGGTTGGATTAGATCAGAGGTATCAGAAATGCAGTCCACATAATACTCCTGAATTTGGTCAAACCAGATTAAAATGTATTTGGAAAATATTTTAAAAACAATAAAAATACAATAAAATATAAGTAACATTAATATATGATTTTTAAAAGTCAATATGAGCCCAAAGGGATCCTTATGTACGGTTTAGCAGTTCCTGGTTCTATATGAGTTTTATACCACTGATCCTAGGACATCTTCATTTCTCCACCTATGAGTTCCCCTTGGGGACTCAGGCCAGAAGACTTCTTTGGAGGGTCACCTGGGTGGTGACTACCTTCTACCTACTCCCATCAGTGAGTGAATAAAGACTTGGCTTGCCACATCTGAAAGATTTCTGACCCTTGATGTGAAGGTAGGGGTAAAAAATGGTAGAAAGATCATGGGGCTGGGATTCAGGAGACCTGGGTCTACCATCTAAGCAGCTCTATGGCTCTTTACTTCTCTGTTTAACTTTCCTTGACCAAGAGACAGATACTAATATTTGCCTTACCTCCAAGGCTGGGATGTTTGGATAAAATGAGATCATAGATGTAAAATCATTTTGAGAAAAGTTAACCATTTATTACTGGACCAATTAATATTTCACTGGGAAAGGTTGGGGAATTCAGCTGTGAATCTGATAAAAATGTTCACATGAATTTTTGTTTCCTTATAGTTTTCCAAGGCACAGACACCCATTGTTTACCAAGTGACCCCACAGTCTGGAGTGCCAGGTAAGCTGTATTGTATTAAAGCAGAGACTTCTGAATTTGGTTTTAAATCCCATTCAGACTCTTACTAACTGTGTGATCCTTGGTTGAATCACTTGATCTTTCTGTGCCTTATTTTCCCCTTCTGTAAAATGAGGAAGCTAGACTATATGACCAGTAAGATACCTTGCAGCTCTAATTCTATATAATCCATGATCAATGATGTAATTCTTATTCCCTTTGGATGGATTTTGTTTATGTTCCTCTAATCCTTATAATTTGTTGTTGTTGTTGCTTAAAAAAATTGGTCTCTTCTCCATGCCTGTTGGGAGAATAGATGCTAGCCGACCTTTTGCCTTTAATCTGGTTTGTTCTTTCCCTTTGCCTATTTTGCTTATCTTTGCACAGTGTATGCATTTAAGGACATTTAAATAGGATTAAGGTAATCAAGTCTTCTGTGTGATTCAGCCAAGAAATGGAAACCTTAAGCTAATCATCATTTTTTAAGGTCATCAGCAGTAGATGTTGACTGCCAGCTATGAGTTAGAACCATCATCTAATACCTTTTGCTACCAACCTTTCCTACAATGGGATTCTGAGATAGGCAGTTAGACTAAGATGGAATCTGAAAAAAATAAATGGAAAGTTCTTCCCGGTAGAATGGGGCAAGGGACTGTTTTCTTTTTGCTTTTATATACCCAGTGCCATCTGTGTCCTGCCCTCAACCCCTGAAGCTTAGTGTACCCATAGTTCTGTCCTATGTCCTCTCCTCTTCCTACACTCTATTTCTTGGTGATCTCACCAACACTCATGGCTTCAACCATCATGTCAGTGAAGATACCTCCCAAATTTACACATCCAGCTCTCATTTCTCTCTTGAGCTTCAATCCTGCTCTATCAAACTTCTGTACATCTCTACTTTGATTTCACATGGGCATCTCAAATTTACTTTGTCCGAAATGGAATCCATTTTGTCTCACAGGCTCCTGTATCCCTGAAACTCACCAATATACCTAACTTTCCTATTTCTGTTGAGGACATCCTTTCAGCCACCCAGATCACAACCTTTGCATCATCCTCTACTTTTTGCCCTCCCTCATCTGTCACCTTGCCAATTTCACCTCGACAGCACTTCTTACACCCAACCCTTCTTTCTATTCACATAGCTACCCCAGAATGTCAACCCCTCATCACCACTTGCCTGGACTATTGCATGGGTTAGTGTTAAAGTTAGTTTTCTAATTATCATCCCTTTTTCCAGTCTCTATCTTCTCCAATCCATCCTTCACACAGCTGCCAAACTGATATTCAGAAGCATGTCTGACCACATTAATCTCTTTCTCTTGTAGCCTGAGTGACTCCTTATTGCCTAAAAAATAAAATATGCACTTCTCTATTTGATATTTAAAGCCAAACTATGTCCAATATATCTTTCTAGACTGATTTGATTTTAGTCCTACCAAATCAGTCTAGAAAGATATATTCACACACTCTATGCTCCAGTCAAACTGGCATAGTTGTACACAGTATTTAGTCTCTTGCCTATGTACTTTTGCATAGGCTATGCCCCATGCCTGAAATGTTCTGCCTCCTCTTTTCTACCTCTTGGAATCCTTAGCTCCTTTCAAGGTTTATGTCAGTTACCACCTCCTACTTGGGACATTTTCTGATACTCCCAGTTCTTAGCGTTCCCCCAACAACAAACTTTTTGTTGTTATTGTTTAATTGATTGTGTCCAACTCTTCATGACCTAATTCGGGGTTTTCTTGGCAAAGGTACTGGAGTGGTTTGCCATTTTCTTTTCCAGCTCATTTTATGGATGAGGAAACAGAGGCAGACAGGGTTAAGTGACTTGCCCAGGGTCAATTACTTTGTGTTTATTCTGTATCTCTATTGTATTGCATTGTATTTATTATTATATCTCTATTATATTTACTTTTTTATTAATATACAATTTACTTTCAATACAATATACACTCATTAAGTGCCCACTACACATCAGACACTGTGAGGTGATGAGGATTCAAAGACAAAAATGAAATGTTCCTACCTTGAAGATGTTTTCATTGGAAAGGCAAGCATAGTACAGTGGAAGGGACCCTAAACTTTCAGTCAAAGGACCTTGATTCAAATTCTGGCTTTGCCATTTACTGTCTCTGTGACATCGGGCAAGTCACTTAGTCTCTCTGAGCCTCAGTTTCTTCATCTGTAAAATGAGAGGGTTGATTCTGATGGTCGCCCACGCTCGTAATCTCTGCTACTGGGAAAGGCTGAGCTGGTGGATCATTTGAGTATTAAGAGTGCTGAGCTGCACTATGGCTAAGCTGATTGGGTGTCTACACTAGAGAGAATGAGACTAACAACTTTGCTCAGCTCTGTCTCACAAATCTAATTCACGTGCAAGTCAAGACATCACTCTAGTGATGCCATTGGTCCTCTTCAAGAATGAAGGTCAACCAATAAAAAGAAGCACCCACGTGGTGAGTCTTTGAGAGTAGAGGGGGCAATAGGGTCTGAGGAAGGGCAAACTGGTCCATGAAGTAGTTCCAGAAGTCTGTGATGACCCACAATGGGATTGGGCAGTGAGTGGCTAATAGTCTTCTAGCCTGGGCAAATAGGGAGACCTAGTTTCAAAAAACAAACAAAAACAAAAAATGAGAGGGTTGGACCAGATGACCTCTGAGGTCCCTTTCAGCTTTAAATGTATTACTTTATGGTCATTCTGCTGGGGGTGGGGAGACACCATGCGTACATATGAGTAAATACAAACTACTAAATAAAAAGTAATTTTGGAAGAGAGGATGCACTAACAACTAAGGGAATTAAGAAATGCCTCTTATAGGAGGTGACATTTCTGCTGATCTTTGAGTGAAGTTAAGAATTCTAAGAGACAAAGATGTCAAGGGAGATTATTCTAGGCATAGCTTGTATAAAAGCACGGACACAAAAAACAGAATAAAATCTACGGTGAGCAACATGTAGGACATTTTTATTGGAACATAGATTATTTGAGGAGTGATGAATGTGTAATCAGTCTAGAAAGATAAAGTGGAACCAAATTATGAAGGACTTTAATTGCCAAGCAGAGAAGTGTGTGGTTTATACTAAAGACAATGGGGAGCCATTGTAGAATGGAAACTCCTTGAGGGCAGGAACTATTTTGGTTTTTGTCTTTGTATCCTTAGTGCTTAGCACAGCTGATGATTGATCAATACTGGTTGTATCAAATTGACTTGCATGCGATAGGGGCTTCATCTATATTTGTTGGATGGTTGGTAAGTTTGGTTGGTTGTTCTTGAAAAGGACCAGTGACCTCACCATGTTAAAGTCAAGTTATGATGGGTCTGACTGTGGCTGATCAAACCAAGATGAGCTTTGAATGCTCTACCACAGATGGGCACAAATAGTCCATGTGAACATTTGGGATGAATTCTCTGAATTTGTGCATCTTGCACCTCTTTTGAGCTACTTCGATTCTGCTCACAGCACCTTCTCTGATGAGGGCACACAATGCTAGGTGGTCCTGTGTCAGTGTCTCCCATGTCACACAATCAGTTCCAAAGTTCTTAAGAGAGACCTTGAGAATGTCCTTGTATTGCCTTTTCTGCACACTACATGACCACCATTTGTTGGATGAATGAAAGAGAGAGGGGATGGAAAGTTAGAGCATCCATTCCCAAGGAAGGATGGTAAATAAGTAATAAGCTGAAAGGCAACATAATCAATTCTTATTGAGTTGTTCTGAAGAGTGTTGATTAATCAAGAAAGCAAAAATTATCACAAAATAAGTGTCTTGACTGTTTTTCTTCTCAACTTGAAAGGGTACAACCAATTGCAAGTTTGTAGTATCATAGGATTTTAGAACTGGAAAGGACCTTAGAGAACCTAATCCACATCTCTAACTTGAAGATAGGAAAACTGAGGCCCAGAGGGCTGAATGCTCTCCCAAGGTCATACAGGTAATGCATGATAGAGCCAGAATTTTAATATGAATTTTCTGTCTCCAATGTTCTGCATTCTGACTCCCTAATATGTCTCTCACTAATGAAGAGTATAAATGACTTTGGGGCTATTTTTCTCTTTGGGATTATCCACACATCTGCTTTCCTTTCTTCATGTGGGACATCAAAATTGACTGCTCTTAAAAAAAGACAAAGTCCATAAGAGGGCTTTGTGGAGAAGCCTGGATCCCAGTTCAATAGGAGCTACATGGTGTCAATTTAGATGATGAAGGCCTTTCTAAGAGTGAAGAATGAGGGAGGCTGTGGTACCTTTGGGATGTGAGGTAGAATAGGATGTCTGCGGGCATCCAGATCTGTTACTCTATTTCTTCTACCCAAGTTCAAACTCTCTTCCTTGCTACCACCAAAACTTCCACCTCGGGGTTTCTTCAGCCTTCTCTGTAAATGATCAGCTTTTGGCACCGTTGGAGAGGTCCCCCTGGGTGAGATCCACAAGGCTGCATCTTAGCAATCTCTTTCCAGACAATTACACTCATCTCATTTGGGAAGCTTGCCCAGAGTTAGCAACTAGGGAGCTCTGTGTGTGTGTGTGTGTGTGTGTGTGGTGTGTGTGTGTGTGTGTGTGTGTGTAAGATGGGGGCAGCTCAGAGAAGTTTTATGAGCATTTGCACTTCAATATGTGGTTAACAGTTCTCCATTCTGACAATTAATTCCCCATTGGCATCTTAGCCCAGCTTAGCCATTAATCTGCCTTGAGTAGCAACCTGGTAGTTGAAAACAAAGAAGATACTGGGAGCTCTACATCATAGTTTCTCATGCCCACCAAAGCTGGGCATTGGATCAAAAATAAAGAAACAATATAATATGTCTTTTCTCTGTCCTCCTTCCTCTCACTTAAAACCTATTAAAATTCATGTGGAATTTAGCACATTCCTATCTATGCTGAATGTTTTGGAGTATGTAAGACATCTTTACAACTGACTGAGGGCAGGAGTTGTACAAGTAAATAAAATTGGGTTCTGGGCCCATATGAGACTCAATTTTCTCTTCTGTACAATGGATATTACAATAATATTTCAAGAACTTACCTCTCACAAGTGTTGTGAGGTTCTAGTTAGAAAAAAATATGTAAAATACTTCACATACCTTGAAGTGTTTAAAAAAAACTGTCAGTTTATCTAATCTCAACAGTCTCTCTAGAATAATGATAAGTGAATGAAAAGATGTGTGGGACAAGGGAGAGAAAGAAGTTCAAGATGACCATTAGTTTTCCATTCTGAGTGTCCGAAGAATGGTGATGCTTTTAACAAAATTAATGAAGTTAGAAGGAGGAATAGGCTTTGAAAGTGAACTCTATCTGGTTTTAAAGGCAGGGGCTATGTCTTATTGTTGCTTTCAGTTTCTACCAGTATCTTGCAGAACATTGATAAGTGGGGTTCTACTGTTGTATTATATTGTTTGAATTTGAGATCTTAGTGGGGCGTCCAGGTTGGAGATATCTAGCAAGGTGATTGGTTGGAAACATGGACTGGGATAAAATTTGGAACTAAAGTTTGGAGAAGAGTGAATCATTAACACAGAGATGATAGGATGACATCATTAAGGGGAAAAGTATATAGAAGAGTGGAAAGAGTGTTGGTCAGAGACTCAGAGAAGGCCTCCATTTAGAGGGTGCACAGAAGAAGGGGCAGCAGTGAAAGAATCAGAACAGTAGTGGTAGGAGGCAATTCAACAGAATAAAATATCACCATGTACAAAGGGTGGAGGGATTTTTAGAGAGGAAGCATGGGCATATACTTCATAAAGGTCCAGGGGATGAGGACTGAGAAAAGGTCTTTGGATTTGGCTATTAGGAGGCCATTGTGAACTTTAAGGAAGGAGTCTTATTAAAATCGTAGAGATAGAGAAGCCAGATTGCTAGAGATAAGGAGGGAATAGAATGGAGGCAGCAAAGAGAAACTTTTTTTGTGACAGGGAGGAATAGAGAAGGGTAGCTAGGTGACACAGTGGATAGACTGCCTGGTCTGGAATCAGGAAGACTCATCTTCCTGAGTTCATATTTGGCCTCAGATACTTTACTAGCTATGCAACTCTGGACAAGGCACTTTACCCCTGTTTGCCTCAGTTTCCTCATGTGTAAAATGGGCTGGAGAAGGAAATGGCAAACTACTCCGGTATCTTTGACAAGAAAACCCCAAATGAGGTTACAAAGTTGGACATAACTGAAAATGACTGAACAACTGAACAACAAAAGGAGTAGAGAGATGGAATTATAGTTTCATTGAGCAGCAGGGTTGAGGGAAGATTTGTTTTTCTTCCTAATCTATCAGCAAACATTCATTCATTAATTTCCTTTTATATTTATTGACAATAAATTAATTTTAACATTATTAATTTAGCGAGTGCTTATATGTGTCCACTATATGCTAGACAGCCTCAATAAGGGAAAAGTATGATGAAAGGCATGATTGAGAGGCAGGGTGGTATAGTGGATAGAGAGCTGGACTTAGAGCCTGGAAAATCTGCATTCAGATACTTCCTCAGATACATACTAACTCCTGACCCTGGATAAGTCCCTTAACCTCTTTTGACCTCTGTTAAAAAAAAATGAAAAGAACTATAGTTTCTTCCAAATCTGAAACTAAATTTATGCTTGTAAACTAAGGAGATGATCTATTTAATAGAGAAAAATTGAAGTTGTAATAAAAAGATGAGAAAATTGGTTCCAGAAGAGGATGGAATTAAATACTCAGTGAAAGGGTGGAAGGAGAGACAACTGGGATTGAGATATCTGGGAAGAATGAAGTAGTGCCAAAAGAGGCAGAGAGAGGGGGAGAGGAGGGAAGTTGAGGAATTTCAAGTTGGGTGATATCTAAGCCCACAGACTTGAGAATATAAGTGCTCATATCCCTGAGGAGAGAATTTGGAATCAAGGTTAAAGTAGACCAAGTACATTAATGTGGTGGGACAAACAGAGTAAAATGATTTTTATGGTTTTTTACTTTTACTCTGTGGTGGCAAATTACTGGAAATTACAAGGATGTCCATCAATGGGGGAATGTCTGAACAAGTTGTGGTGATGATTGTGATGGAATACTACTGTGCTATAAGAAATGATGAGCACAAAATAATGAAGAGCAAAATGAGCAGAACCAAGAGAACATTGGATACAGTAACAGTGATATTGTTTTAAGAATGATTTTGAATGAATAAGTCATTTTGACTGTTATAAATAACTCAATTAACGATAAAGGACATAAGAAAGATGCTATCTGCATCCAAAGAAAGAACTGATAAGTAGAAGTATGCATAGGATCATTTTACATACATATACCTATTTGTATCTAATGGAAGCCATCTTTAGGTTGGGGGGAAGGGAAAAAAAGAAAAAAAATTTGCGTGATAACTTCTTTATATATTTAAAAGGAATAACAAGTTGTACATAATAGATTTGTAGTTTCATGTACGATCATCTTTTTTTATAATACTAAGTTATGGAAATGCTTATCCTATTCCATAAATTAAAAATAAAATAAATAGAAAGTCACTGCTTTATCTTCTATGTGAATGAAAGGAAGTAGTTGTATGTATATCAATAATAATAGCTAGCATTTGTATAGCACCTAGTATGTGCCAGGCACTGTGCACAGTGCTTTACAAATATTATCTCATTTGATCCTCACAATAACCTTGCAAGGTATGCGCTCTTATTGTTTTCATTTCAGAACTGGGGAAACTGAGGCAAACAGCTGTTAAATAACTTGCCTATCATCATACAGATATTAAGTATCTGAGGTAGGATTTAAAAGTCTTCCTGATATCAGGTCTAGTGCTCCACTGTGTCACCTAGCATATTGCCAAAGAGAAAAATGAAGAGGCAGGACAGGGATATTCTAGTTCAAGTGCAGTAAACAAGGCTGAAGTCCTGTATGGAAGAAACTTTCCAGAAGTCAGGGTGAAGAGCAAGGAGTTCAAACTCTAGACTTGCTAGGAATTGTTTGCCAGAGGGGTTCAGGCTGCTCACTGCTTTTTGATTATCTGTGGTCAATCACACCCTTCAGCATCCCAGCATGATTTTCTGCATCTGTGGCCACCAAGAGACTCATGTGGATTATTTGATTTTAATAAGGTAGAAGGCAAGGATATGTGATGGAAGCAAGGGAAATGGAAAGCAGAGCTTGGGAATTGAGGAGACTTGAGGAAAGTTAAAAAAGTTTGGAAGAATCCTCATGGAAAATCCAAAAGGAAGGCAGTAGGAGATAAGCAAAAGGATTGTTGAGATACAGTGCAGTCACAGGTGAAGTCAGTATAATAGAGATAGCATAATGGAATCAGTTGGCATATTTATTTGACTCTCTCTCTAGGAACACATGGCAGCTTCCCAGTAGGAGTGGAGAAGTTTAATGATGGGATTTGAAATTGTCAGGCTCGGGGGAGATGTGGTAGAAGCGCAAGATCTAAATAGATTTGAGGAGTTTCCAGTGAGATCACAGAACGACTGATTAATATGAGCCCAGGTTCGGCAAAAAAGTAAATGAACATAAAATTATCCTGATGGTCTGGTAGATTATGGAGAAGTCACAAGAACAGAGGTCATGAAGAGGGATTTTAGAGGTAGAAAAGTTTTAAATAAAAGGAAGTTTTTAAGTGGTTATCTAAATGTGGGTGATGGAAACAGAACAGAAAATATGGTAGCTGAAGATAAGGAAGTCCAGAAACCATGAGGGAAAGGTATTTGAATGGTTACAAACATTGATATTGAGATCCTGAAGGATGCTGTCAGGGATGGGATAGAGAGGACTATGAGCCTGGGGATGGAGTCAGCCTTTTAAAAGGTTATTTATTTAAAATTTTTATTTTCAGTTCCACATTCTCTTCCTCCCTCTCCCTTCTTCCTTCTCCCCTAGCCATTGAGAAGGTAAAAAATATGATGCTTATTGTACATATGAAGTAAGACAAATCACGTTTCTACAGTAGCCAAGTTGTGAAAAAAGGAAGCAAGAAAAATAAAGAGAAAAAATATAGGCTTCAATCTGCATTCAGAGTCATCAGTTCTCTATCTGAAGATGAATGGCATTTTTCTTCATGAGTCCCCTCAGAATTATCATACATTATTGTATTGATTAGAATAGCTAAATATCACTGTTACTCTGTATAATGTTCTCCTGGTCCTGCTCAATTCACTCTGTATCAGCTCATATAAATATTCCCAGGTTTTCCTGAAATCATGGGGATGGAGTTATCATAGGAGGTAGGGATAGTGTCTATTAGGTTAGTAGATGACCATAACAAGCATGGGGAGATGAATAGTAGAAACCAAAAAGAATAAAATAGGTGCCACTGCTTCAAGTCTAGCCTTTAAGCTTAATAATATTTTTCCTCTCTCTTTTTTTATTTTATAACCAGGAAACTTAATACAAGTCCATGGCTGGATTATTACTGGAAGGACTGAAACTTTTGATAACAGTATTGAGTTCATCGATAGGTAGGTGTGTATGTGTGTGTGTTTCTATTTTCAACTGGGGACACATATATGCTTTTTGAGACTGGGTTCTCTGACAGCAATAAATTGAAAGCAGTTGGCACAGAATTGCTATTTTCTTCTTTGCAGTTTATGATCCCTAGTGAGTTGGGCTTCAGCAAACTTTGTTAATGTAATTGCAACTGGTCGATTAAACAGGTCCATTTATTTACTGGCAACTAGTCACTCTTGGCTCAGTGTGAATTGCGCTGTAATTGTATCTGTTGATTTTCTTCCTTAGCCCTTTTACCTGCCTTTTCCCTGAACCCATGTTCCCAGGCTGAAGTGAACTCTCTAAAACAATGGGAAAATCTGAAATTTAGTTATAATTTTGTTTCTTCTTCTTGTAAATTTGCATATTTAGAAACGCTGTTATAGTGATCCAACTGGGGGAGGATGATGGGAATAGGAACTGAAAGCCTTTGGGTTGTTGATATATTTTCATTAAACTGCCAAAATTACTTTCTTCATTCAAGATTTGTGTAGGGGCAGCTAGGTGGCGCAGTGGATAGAGCACTGGCCCTGAGGACCTGAGTTCAAATTCAGACTCAGCACATAATACTCACTAGCTGTGTGACTCTGGGCAAGTCACCTAACCTCATTTGCCTCACTTAAAAAAAAAAAAGAGTTGAGTTGTCATTTTGGGGCAGCTAGATGGCACAGTGGATAGAGCAGCAGCCATGGATTCAGGAAGACCTAAGTTAAAATCTGGCCTCAGTCACTTGACACTTGCTAGCTGTGTGACCCTGGGCAAGTCACTTTACCCCATTGCCTTATGCGCGCATGCGCACGTGCAACACACACACATACACACACAAAGATTTGTGTAAAGTACAAGAGACCACAAACACAGAAGCAATGCTTTACACTGACACTAATATATGATGTTCAATATCCATGGAAGCTTCCAGGTGGTGCTCTGAGGTTAGGCTGGTCCATCTCGCTTCCACCATGGATGTAGGGACAGAACTCCTCATCTCAGCTATATCTAGGCAAGCCGCAAGATGGCATCCCAAGTCCTCAGCTACCAGCTTGCTTAAACTGCATGTGTGTGGACAGGACCTCTGTGGTACCCATGTCTTCCAGTTTCTAGTACCGTTCAGAGCCAACCCAAACTACTATATGAGATAGGGTCATAGATATTCTTTATAATAATTCATAATTTATCAGATGGCTCTAGCCCACATTCTTAAAGAATTTAAATATTTTTGTTTTCTCATTTTGGATGACTTTAAAAGGATTGTTAATTTGCGTATGGATTATAACACATCTTCTGAAGTAAATAAGAAGTGTAAGAGATACAGGGTTAATACGTGTTTGAATAAGCCTCAGATGGCTACAAACACTAGTTTTAAAGTGTGTATTTTCCAACTCTCAGCACTTAGTCTTCTGTGCCTGCCTTTTTGCAGATGCACCTGATGATTACATTGTTCTGTTAAAACAAACAAACAAAAATTTGGTCATTGAAGTAAAGGGCTCAAGGTGGACTCTTACCACAACCATCTGATTGCTTCTGTAAAAACTACCATTCAGTGTCTTCTGGGCCCCTGTGGGTCCTTTTTGCCTCCATCTTCTCCTGGTTGCTGCTGTAGGGAGAAGCCTCTAGGGCAGGGATGGGGAACCTGCAGCCTCCAGGACACATGTGGCCCTCTAGGTCCTCAAGTGTGGCCCTTTGACTGAATCCAAACTTCACAGAATAAATCTCGACTGAATCCAAACTTCACAGGACAAATTCCCTTAATAAAAGTTCCCCACCCCTGCTCTAGCAAAACAAAAAGAGCAGCCTACTTAGGTAGAAGACTCATGTAAGCCTGAAATACCTGGTGTTTGGGAGCTCATACTGAGAGAGACAGAGAGAAAGACAGACAGAGATGGAGAGAGAGAGAGAGAGAGAGAGAGAGAGAGAGAGAGAGAGAGAGAGAGAGAGAGAGAGAGAGAGAGAGAGAGAGAGAGAGAGGCAGACAGAGAGAGCCTCTTTATAGTATGAGAGGTTAACCTAGGGTTCATGAACTTGATTTCTGAAATATTTTGATAAAAATATTTGCTTTCTTACATATTTTGATTTCGATAGAATTGCTTTCCTTTGTAGTTCTACGCACTTTATTTTATGCATTTAAAACCATTATTCTGAGAAGGGGTCCATAGAGTTCACCAGACTGCCAAAAGGGTCCATGAGGCACAAAAAGTCAAGGTCCCCTATAGATATGGAGAGGTACAAAATGCTGCATCTACCCTATAAAATTCCTGTAGGAGTGTGTGACTTCTTATGGTCCTGTGACTTGGTCCTTTACATAAGCCATGAATATTGCTTCCCTTCTCCTGTCCTTAATTTACATCTTTTCTTGGTGCTTAATGGAAAGTGAAAGAGAAAAAATCTCATGAGGTACCTTTATCTCCCAAGGTGCTGCTGTACTGATACTGTACTTGTGTGCTACAAAGTGGTAATAGAATGAAAGTTCTTTGAGGGCAGGCAGTTTCCTTCTTTATATTTGTATCCTCAGGGACTGGTACAGTGCCCAACATATAACAGAAGCTTAATAAATACTTGTTGGTTGATTAATAATTTGTTTTAGAATACCAGAATCATCTTGGAGACCTATAGCTTAATAAGGAGATGGAAAATTTGAAGAGTGTAATCACAAATCTGAGAGTTTTGAAAATGATGGTATCTGAAAAAAAAGTCTATGAAATGGGAATTATCTAATAAATGAAGCTAGTTTAAAGAGTGTTAAATAGGACAAAGAACATAATTTTAAATGTGTATGTTCAGGTGATCAGATTTTGCACATTGAATCTCAATTTCCCCCTTCACACCTGGGGAGTAATTATTACTTTAAAAGAGAGGAACCTCCTCCTTCAATTTATCATCTCTTTTATTCTACCTCTCTAATTTTATCCTATTTTAGTCCCTGGTAAAGGAGCAAATTGAGTTGACTGTTTCTAGCAGCTACATTTCTAGCTGTGGTGTGGTAGTTATCCATAGGATTCTCCTGTGTGTACAGAAAAAAAGATCATTAGGCAGGATTGGAGCTAGAAAGAAGGAGCCAAACAGAATTTGCTTTGTAAAATAGGTGCCTGTGTGCAGACCCTTATGGTCTTACCTCTACCTGATTTCTGAACACACCAATCTATCAGGGGTAAAGTTATACACTATAGCTGATGCAAAGAGGATGTGACTTTGTATAGGATACATGCAACAGAAAGTAGGATTACTGTGGTCCAGAGACCCATGTTCCAGGTTATATAGCTCAGGTTAGTATTAACGTCAGCTTGCTTTTATACTTTTTACCACCCGCTTTTATCTTCACCTTAAAGGAACTAGGAAGTAGGCTCAACACTATTTTCTGGGATAAGAGCTCACCTTCTTATAATCATAGACCATTTTATGTTCTCGTTGAACAAGAAGTTTCAACCTAAAGTCCTCATGTATTTGTGGATAGATTTTGGGGAGTCTATGAACTTTGAAAGGAAAAAATAACATCTTTATTTTCACTCAACTCTTACTGAAATCTAGTAAGCATTTCCTTCAGTTATGAATTCAAAACAAAACAAAACATGATTCGGAGAACGGGTCTAAAGGCTTCCCCAGATTCCCAAGTGGTTCTATGGCCCTAAAAAGGTTAAGAAGCACTAGGAAGATGATGTTGTCAGGGAAGTCAGTTTGGGAATTATTCCAGGGAAGGCAGTGGAAATCGTCCAAAGCCTTCCACTCTGATACCATCTCCTTTTCTTTGCTTTTCTTACGCAGTCCACTCACTCTTCAGGCCCAAGGTGGAGAATGGATTACACCCTGCTCTCTTGTGGACAGAGAGACAGGAAACAGGTGAGGTTTTTTTTTTTTCTTTTCCTTGGGAAAGTATATCCTGAGAGGCATATATTCAGGCAAGGGTGTGCTGGATCTTGCTAGGGCTGGTTCTTGAGAATCAGCTGTCAGTGTGAGCATTTGCACTTTGGAAATCAGTAAAGCTACACATTAGGCCTTGATTTAACATGTTGTTGATTGTCTTAACTCAAGAAAATAATGGAAAAAATGATAATAATGCAGATTAAAGTTAAAAGTGAAGTGCATACACTCTTCCCCTCCAGGAGAGCACATTGTTGAATATTTACCAGCATATCCGTGTATGCAGGGTATGATCATACACACATTCCTTTTTTTTCTAGTGTATAAAACCACAAATTCACATTTACATCATACTTTAAGGCTTATTAAGCATTTTCCATGATCTTGCTTGATCCTTATAACTCAGTTATTGTAGTATAAATATTATAACTGTGATGATTGAAAAGTCTAAGCGACAGAGTTTCTGGGTAATTAGTGATCAATTTATTAATTAAGCTAGATAATAATCAATAAATTGATGGCCAATGGTTTCTTTGGGTAACCAAAGACAAAGACATGAAGAGACTGGAAACTTTAATTACTTTTAGAAAAGTGTGTGCCTCTGACAGGTGAAAATCAACCCTGATTAGTGAGCAATTAATGAGAGGGTTGGCTAAAAGTCTTTAGCTCCTCCTGCTAAGCATAAGCTTGATCCTGAGACTCAGCCTCCTACAGAAATCTGGACCAAGGAATCCATCTCTACCCAGACCACTCTGGTTGGTCCTCTCCTTCATAAGCTGGATCACCTTAAACTCCAACTGAGGGGTACAAGGACATGGACTTAATGCTTTGGGGCAGGGATTCACCCAGAATAGATTCTGTTTACACTTCAAACAGAAGAGTAAGTCTCCTAGTTGGGTGGGGTCCTACCAAAGATCCTGTACCCTGAGGATTAGGGCAATCTCCTCTATTAGCCATGCCCTTCAGAGACTGGCTGACTGCCTTATAGGGTCTGGTCCCTGAGTGAGGAAATAAAAAGCCTGGATCCAAATTAATAATAGATGATTAATGTAATAGAAAATAATAACTTGTCTCATGATCCCCTTTTTTAGTGATGAAAAAATAGATTTAGAGAAATAAAGGAATTTACCCAGTGTCCTATAGCTGGTGAATGAAAGTGCTGGCATTCAAAACAGGGTTCTCTGGCACTAAATCAAATGTTTCTTCCACCGTACTACATCAGGAGTTTAGTCATGAGAAGATGCTTCCTCCCTAGAGGAACTGAGTATGCACCCTTTGTCTTATGACCTCCTGCTGGCCCAAGGTGCTGCAAAACTCAACTGACCCTACCTCACCCCCTTTCCTGAGTCCTGTCACTATGGGTGCTCTTGTAGGTCTTAGAGACCCTCATCAGAAACCAGACTTTCTTTTCTTGAGTGACTGTACCCACATTTAGACTATCCCTTCTGTTACTCCCCTCCCCTTTTCTCCCCCAATTGTTTTTGCCCCAGGTAAAAGTATTCCTATTTATGTGGTGGTAGTGGTGGTATTGGAGCTGGGGGAAAGGTAACATGAGCAGAGGTACAGTTAGTGGTGGAGGAGAATGACCAGAGATGCACTCACAATGCACGTTTTTCTCACTGCTTGATAATTTTGACTCATGGTTCTGTCTTGTCAGTTACTCAATGAGTTATTTTTTTGCTCCTACGATGTGCCACGAATTGTGCAAAGTGCTGGGGATACAAAAACAGTCCTTGATCAATCAATCAATCAATAAACATTTATTAAGCACTATGTGCCAGACATTGTGTTAAACACTGAGGATGTAAAAAAAGGCAAAAGACAGATCCTGCTCTCAAGGACCTTAGAGCCAAAGGGAGGGAGTGGACAACATGCAATCAAATACATACAAAGCAAGCTATATGCAACATAGATAGGAAATAATTAACAAAGGGAAGGGAAGGGATGGAAAAGCCTTTTTGTAGAAGGTGAGATTTTAGTTGCAACTTAAAGGAAGCCAGGGAGTCAGTCGTTGGAGTGGAAGGAAGAGAACTTCCAGGCATGGGAGACAGCCAGAGAAAATGTCTGGGGTCAAGGTCTTGTCCGTGAAAGATCCCGGAGGCCAGTGTCACTGGACTGAAAACTATGTATTAGACAGTAAGGCAGAAGAAAACTGGAAAGGTAAAAGGGAGCTAGGCTATGAAGGGCTTTGAATACCAAACAGATTTGTATTTGTTTTTATTTGAAACCTAGAAGCAATAGAGAGGCACTGGAGTTATTGAATAGGTGGTCTTAAGGAGTTCACAGTCTAATGGAGGAAACAACATGCCAACAGCTATGTATCAACAAGAATCTGGCTAAAGGACATACCTGCTTCACTTTCAATAGCAGCTAATTTTCCCTGGCTAATATACTATTTTTATTCCTCCTCTGCAAAATGAGAAGCTTGGTCTAGAAGCTTTATAAATCCTTTTCAGATCTAACCATATGATCCTCAATGGAATGATGGCTCATTTCCCCATTTCTTGGTGGCTTCACAGGTATCCAGTTGAAGAGGACCTTGGCTTTGGAGCCTTGCGGTGTCGGGTGGAAGGCCACTACGTTGGTCAGTTGGAAAAGGGACACTTGGTTTTCTAGAGTTTTTGCCTACCCCCTTCTCTTTATACAGGCAATGTGGTATGGTGAATATGGTGCTAGTATCAGAAGGATACAGGTTTGAATTCTACTTGAGGCACTTACTCTCTATGTGATGCTGGGAAAGTCACTGAATCTTTGTTAGTTTTAATTTCTTCATCTGTAAAATGGGGATAGGAGGCAGCTAGATGGCTCAGTGGATAGTGCACTAGGCCTGGAGTCAGGAAGATTCTGTTGAGTTCAAATCCAGCCTCAGATACTTACTAACTGTATGACCCTGGACAAGTCATTTAACCTTTGGTTGCCTTAAACCACTGTAGAAGGAAATGGCAAACCATTCCAGTATCTTTGTCAAGAAGACCCCATGGACAGTATAGTCAGACACAACTCATTGACTGAACAACAACAAATAAAATGGGGATGATAGTAATAGTACCTACCTTGAAGGATGGTTGTGAGGACCAAATAGAATATGTGTAAAGTACTTTACAAATCTTAAAGTGTTATGTAAATGTGGCTAGATGGTACAGTGGATAGAGTGCTGGGCCTGGAGTCAGGAAGATCTGAGTTCAAATCTGGCCACAGACTAGCTGTATGACCCTGGGCAAGTCACTTAACCTCTTAATTAATTAGCCTTAGTTTCCTTAACTTAAAATGGGGATAATAACACCCCCTTTTAGGGTTATTGTGAGGAATAAATGAGATAGTATTTGTAAAGCTCTTGACAGTGGCCAACACATAGTAGGTGCTAAATGCTAGCTATTATTATTAATTTTCTGGGAGAAGACAGACTAAGAGAGTGCTACTTACTAGGCTCAGTCTTGCATGCTCTTTTATTCTTTAGAGAGGTAGATGCTTACGGTCCTAATTAATCCGCTTGTCTTTGCTATTTCTAGGAAAAGGTGGTAGTAGTGTTTGCTGCTGGTATTGTTTCCAACTCTTTGTGATCCCATGTGGGATTTTTCTTGGCAGTGGTTTGCCATTTTCTTCTCCAGCTCATTTTACAGATGAGGAAACTGAAGCAAACAAGGTTAAGTGACTTCCCCAGGGTCACACAGCTAGTAAGCATCTGAGGTCAGATTTGAACTCAGCAAGATGAGTCTGCCTGACTCTAGGCCCAGTGTTCTATCTACTGTGCCACCTAGCTGCTCTAGGAAAAGTTTGGGTTTGGGTATTCTTTTTCTGTCTTCTCAAGTACCTGAATCTAGGATAGTAGTTTCTAACTCTGTAATCTACTTCAGACTCTTGTACTAAATACCAATTTTTTTTTTCTGCCCAACAGGTTCACACAATGTTAGCTTCTCCATATTTAATAAAGGAAAGTAAGTCTTGGGAAGCATGCAAACCTCTATGTGTTCGGGTTACATGAGTTGCTTATGCTTTTGGTTTTCTATATTTCTTTTACACTTGTGTCCATAATTGGGAGATTTAGAAAAGCATTCTGAATTACTTTAGAGACCTCATCCTATTCCTTGTAGGAACAAAATGAGGGTGAGGGATGGGGTGGCTGATGATGTAGGGTAAGAACTGAAGAATGAGTTAGTGAGCAAGTAGAACTTACTTCAAGCTGACAATAGAAAGGAAGGACTGAGGCAAAAGAGGTGCTTCAAGGGGTCAGAGCATGAAATCTCCAAATAAAGGGTGAAGGAAGCAATAAGATCTGAAATTTCAAGGAGGCTTTGAGACCTCGATAAGAAATAGTCTTTCTCTGCTGCAGTTGGGGCCAAATGGGTCCAGGGGGGCTTTCTTACCTATGTAAGATCTGCCTCCCCAAAACATCCACCATTGCCTCTAGTTCTGCCTTCTAGGGTCCATTAGAACAAATCTAGTCCCTACTCCCTGTATAGATCCTTCACATACTTGAAGATGACTGTCTTGCCTCCTCCCTCAAGTCTTCCCTTCTTCAGGCTTCACATGACATGTTCTTTCAGTGCTATCTAAATGCTCTTTTATCTATCTATCTATCTATCTATCTATCTATCTATCTATCTATCTATCTATTTATCTATCTATCTGTCTGTCTACCTATTTTCTACCATTTCTTTCTTTCTTTCTTTCTTTCTTTCTTTCTTTCTTTCTTTCTTTCTTTCTTTCTTTCTTTCTTTCTTTCTTTCTTTCTTTCTTTCTTTCTCTCTCTCTCTCTCTCTCTCTCTCTCTCTCTCTCTCTCTTTCTTTCTTTATTGGTTTTGGCTAGGCAATGGGGTTAAGTGACTTACTCAGGGTCACACAGCTATTAAGCGTTATGTGTCTGAGGCGGATTTGAACTCAGGTCTTCCTGAATCCAGGGCCGGGGCTGTATCCACTGCCCCACCTATCTGCTCCATATAAATGCTCTTTTAAGATTTCATTCCAAAACTTGAGTTCATTTTACTTTGCTCACTAAGACTGGAAATGCCCTCAAATAAAGTAGTTTTTTGATCAAGAAAAAGAGCAATCTGGATAATTCAATGGATGCTTTGGTCCCTGAACTGACTATAACACTATTTTCTTTTGAAGGTCAACCGTACACAAAGATGCATGGCTGATCAGTGCCAAACAGGACCTTTTCTTGTATCAGACTTACTCAGGTATGACCTTACTTCATGTATTTTCTCCCCCATCCCTGCTTTTACATCTCGTCCAAGATCTGGACCTTCCTATCCTTTGTCCCATCTATTCATCTCACCATTGGGTGGTGAATGTGTGCCTTAGTGTGTTGTGGATGTAAATATGAATAGGATTTTTATGGGCGGGACCATGTGACTATATTGGGATCACAGATTTAGAGAGGACATGAGAGATTATCTAGCCCAGCCCCCTCATTTTAACAGTTGATGGAGGAACTTGATATTGTTGGTGGATATGAGTTAAATGTAGATAAGATGTTTAATATGCTTGGGCACATATAGCCTATATCAGACTGCTGGGGGAGGGGGGAGAGGAGAGAGGGAGGAAGAAAAAAATTAGGGACTCAAAATCTTATAAACATGAATGTTGAAAACTATCTTTACATATAATTGGAAAAAATAAAATACTATTAAATGGGAAAAATATTTAAATGAAAATGTTAAAAATTGGGAAAAAAAACAAAGATAAGAATTAGTGAAGGTTTCTGGAAAAGTTATATTTAGTCTCGTTCTCCATCCCCCACCCCGCCCAGTGTATTGGGGAAAAAGAAGAGCTTAACCACCCAATAGCCCATTTTTCTTTTACTTTAGTTATACTTTAGTTATACTTTCAACAACTCCTGCTTTATTAATCTAGACTTTGAGCTCTTGCATTGCCACCTGGTGGCTGCTGAAAGTTGGAAAATCGCTTTTTAAATCTATGAACTCACAGGCTAGTTTACCTATTTGAAGCTTGCAACAGAACCAACAAATAATCTCATAGCCTTTTCCTAAAGACCTGCAGTGTCCTCATTACATCCATTACACTTTGGGCTAGCTGTAATTGTTAGGAAATTTCTTTTCTTTTCTTTGTATTTTTTCCCTTTCTTTCTTTTCTTTCCTCTTTCCTTTCCTTTTTCCTTTTTCTTTCCTTTCCCCTTCCACTTTTAGTTTCCTTTCCCCCTCCCCTCCTCTCCTCTCCTTTCCCTTGTCTTCTTTTCTCTCTTCTTTCCTCCCTCCCTTCCTCCCTTCTTTCCTCCCTTCCTTCCTTCCTACTTTCCTTTTTCCTTCCCTCTTTTTACTCTTTGACCAGATTAGTAATGGGCCTCTATAAATTTTGCTAGACTGACTCTCAGACAATGGACTTTATCCCTGGACTCATGCCCATCCTTTTCATATGGTTAGAATTTTCTACAGCTTATACTTAATTGATATCACCTTGAGAATCCAGGGACAGGAGTCAGTGTTATGCTGAGGCACTGGAGTTTGATTGGACTCAGGACCACTATAATTGCTATCTTTATTTGTAGAAGATTTTCCAATTTTCCAAGTGTCTTCATAGATTAATAGTCATAAGATTCAAAGGTAGGCATCACTTTAGAATCTAATCTTGTCTCCAAGGCCCAGGAACAGTGAGAGATCTTCCTAACGTCACACATAATATTTGAGAGCTATGGACAGGTTCAGTTATGTCTAAATTACTTCTTCAAGTTACTCTTGTAACTTATCTTCAAAAGGACTTTGTTAAAATGAAAATGTTTAGGGAGTTTTAAAAAAAAACATCTTGGAATATCTGGACTTTTGCAATACCCTTATTTATGTTTCTCCATTCCTATGCCACATTATATTATACATCTGAGTAGTGTATTTCCTTTATTTTTATTTTAATTAAACTTTAATTTTAAACTTTAATTTAAACTGAATTGAATTGAACTTTCAAAGAGAATGAGGAGAAAGAAAAAAACCTTTTTCGCTTGTCTTCAGAAGTACCAATCAGGAAGGAGATGGACATCTTGATGGTGCCTATAAAGGGGTGCTGACACAGAACTGCTTTTTGCTATTACAGTCCCAAGTTGCTGTGTAGAAATCAAGGGATAGAATCATAGATTCAGGACTGGAAAGGACCTTGGTGATCTTTATTGTCATCCTCCCTACTCTAATTTTTGTCTTTGTTGTTGCTGTGGAATCATTTCAGTTGTGTCCGACTATATATGACCCCATTGGAGGTTTTCTTGGCAAAGATACTAGAGTGTCTTTGCCATTTCCTTCTCCAGGTCATTTTACAGATGAGGAAACTGAGGCAAGCAGGGTTAAGCAACCGGGGTTACACAGCTAGTAAACATCTGAAGCCAGATTTGAACACAGGTCTTCCTGACTCTGTGCCTGGTGCTCTGTAACATGCCACCTAGCTGTCTTCTAATTTAATTGTGGAAACTGAGACCTAGGGAAGATGTGGGTTGACTGAGGTCACATGAGTAACAAGGACCTGTATTGGGATTTGAACCTAGGTCATAGGAGTTTATTGTCATAGATCTGGAGTTGGCAGTGAACCTTATCTTGTCCAGCTCCATTTTTATAGATGAAGAAACAAACCCAGTGAGCTAGTGACTTGCCCAAGTTCCTCTTATTCCTCTTATTACAAATTCAGTGCTCTGTCTGCTGTTCCTAATCCTTTATCCAATTTCTTCCATTTCTCCTGGTTTTCTCTTTGCCCTTCCATGTTTCTCTTCCTTCTTTATGTCTGTTTTGAAATGGCTTTAGATGGAGAGAGTCTGCTTTCCCTAGAGTCATTGCTCTGCCAGCTCTTTTGATTTCCAAACACATTGGTTGGTTCTATGGTAATCCAGATCATGAAGTTGACTTTTTATTTCTTCCGTAGAAATACTGTCTGTGTTTCCAGCAACTGGGAGCCTGGGTGGAGGAACAGACATCACCATCACAGGAGATTTCTTTGATTTTCCTGCCCAGGTTACTGTTGCAGGTAGCTAAGATACAGTAATTGTCTTTCATTGTAGTGCTGTTTTGGGGGTAGTGATATTTTTTTCCGTTTTTGATTGGTGGGAATTCAGTCTCACAAAATTTCTTGAGCACCTGTGTGTAAAAGACTTTGCTAGGACTTGGGCACATTAAAAAGATAAATATAATTTCTCCCTGCCTTTACAAAACTTATGTTTCAGTAGAGGAGATGATAGGGACAAGGATTGGACCTGAGATTTCACTGATAATAGGGAACTTTTCAATGAGGAAACTCCCTCTATAAGTGCAGGTCAGAACCTTACCTTCCCTGTAAATGGAAACTTATAGTTTTATGATATCAGATTGTTTACCATCTTAGGAAGGGGGGGAGGGGAGGAAGAGAGAAATAGAATTTGGAAGTCAAAAAGTTTAAAAAATGTTAAAATCATTTTAACATTAATTAAAGGAAAATAAAATATTGTAAAATTAAAAAAAAGAAATTTATAGTTTTAAAGAAGTACCTAGAGTAGTGGTGTCAAACTCAAATTGAACAAGGGCCACTAGACTGTATATAAGGACCCTTGCAGGCCTCATATTGACTTAGAAAACCACATGTTAAAATTATCTATATTTTATTTTTTTATTATTTTTTTTTTTGGTTAAATATTTCCCACTTACATTTTAATATGTTTTGGGCCACATTCAAGAGTGTTGTTGGCCATATATTTGATACTTTGTTCTACAATGCTGAGAAATAAAGTGACTCATCCAGGTGTGATGTACAAAAAGTCTGAGAGATATAATTTCTGGGTAACTAATAATCATTTTATTAATTATGGTTAGTGAATAATTAAGAAACTGTGGTCAACGGCTTTCTCTTGTAAACTAAAGAGTTTTAATACCCTTGATAGAATGGATGTTCCCAACAGGTGGAAATCAACTCTGTATCATTAACAATTAATGAGAGAATGAATATTATAATAAGAGGTGGGCTCATTCAAATGAGAGGCTGGGGGATATGACTTTGATTATGTCATCCTTACTCATCTCTACCAAGACCACCCCTGTCTTGGACAATCTAGACAAAGGGATGACTTTTTTGACTTTCACCCAAGTCACTTATGTTCTAGTTGGGTGAGATCTCACCCAGGGTTGAGGAGAATGTTAACCAAATCTAATCTATCAGCCATGTCCTTCACAAGGGCTGGGCTTTGAATAAGGAAATAGAAAGGGAAAAACCCTGAATCCCCTGATACTAATTGATTATTAATATAAGAGAAAAATAATCATTTCTTTCACACAGCCAACATGTACCAATAGGTCAGTCTTGAATCCAGGTAGTCCTGGCCCTGAGGACAACTACCTATCCACTATGCCATACTCTCTTTCTAGGAGAGGAGATGGGCCTATACGAAAGAAGATAGAATGTGGAAGTTCAATACTTGTATGTATACAAAGAGCTATGTGAATACAGAACAAGTGGGAAAGATGACTTCAAGCTGAGAGGTTTGAGAAAGGATCATAGAATCTTAGATTTAGAACCGCAAAAGAATTTAGAGTTCACCTAATCCAACCTTTCCACCTCACAGAGATGGAAAATAGAGCCCAAAGAATTTAGGTGACTGAACCATAATCTCACAGGTAGTAAATAGTAGAATCAGGATTTTAAGCCATATCCTTGACTCCAAATCCAGTTCTTCCCCCCTTGAGCCATCTTGTTTACAGAAGAGAAGGTCTTTAAACAGGACTTTTAAAATTGGATATGAATTGGACAAGGGAAAATGGTTGAAGTGGGCATTCTGGGGGAGGGAACCATGTGAGCAAAGCTATGAAGGCAGGATGATGTAGGAAAGTGTTTTGGGGACAGCTATTTCTTTGTGTCTCTTCCCTTTCTAATGGTGTGATGGCTTCCTCCCCTCCCACCAATGGTTCATCAACTCATCATAGTATAGTAGAAAGAACACCTGGTAAGGAGTCAAGAAACTTGGGTTCTAGTCTTGGCTTTGCCTGGAAAATGGGGGAGTTAGAATAAAGGATCTCTGGGATCATCATAATAGTTAACATTTGCATCATGCTTACTATGTGCAAAGTGCTTTACAATTATAACCTTATTTGATCTTCAAAACAACCCTAGGAGGTAGGTGCTATTATTATCCCCATTTCACAGATGAGGAAATTGATGCCCAGGGAGATTAAGCAACTCAACAAAGGTTACCAAGGTAGTAAATAGCCAAGATGAGATTTGAACCCAGGCCCATTGACTCCAGAGCCTAAGCTCAAGATGGCACTTTCCAGTTATCATCTTTCTATTTCAGATTTTTTGACTTATCCCATTCTTCTCTCATGTTGTTATTAGACATCCCATGTGAAATCAAATACATTTCTCCAAGGAAGATCGAGTGCACCACTGGGCCCCTGAAGCAGGGCACAAAGCTCATGTCACCTCAGCCAGGTAAGGAAGTACCAGTGTACTTCTTCCTATTTTCTTTAGTTGAGGAACAGGGTAAGGAGAGTATTTGAACTCTTGAGTTAAACTCTCAGCCATGAACCCAATACATAATTAACTTGGATAACTAGCATTATGCTTATGAAGCCAAGGTCCTGAGCATGAATTCTAAGTTGGAAAGCTAGCTTTGATTTGTTCCACAGCTTCAAACTATGTCCCTAATCTTGGCCAGCCATCTCACTAATTCGCATGATTGTTTACTAGAGGAAAAGAGAGACAATCCATCACAGCTACTGGAGATACAACTCCAAGTGCATGCCCTACTGACGGTGGCTAAGCAGTCTCAAATTTATCTACAAAGAATGCTGATTACCTCATCTATGTTATTTTGTTGTTCAGTCATTTTTCAGTCATGGTGTGACCCCAGTTGGAGTTTTCTTGGTAAAGATATCAGAATGGTTTGTCATTTCTTTCTCCAGCTCATTTTACAGATGAGGAAATTGAGGCAAACAAGGTTAACTGACTTGCCCAGGGCCCCAGCTAGTAAGTGTCTGAGGCTGTATTTGAATTCAGGAAGATGAGTCTTCCTAACTCCAGGCTCAGCACTCTATCCACTGCGCCGCTTGGCTACCCTCATCTGTGTTATAGACAATAATAATAGCTCATATTTTTAACGCTTAAAGGGTTGCAAAGTGTTTTGTCTACGTTGCCTTATTTGGTTATAGCTAGCATTTATATATGGCTTACTATATGCTAGGCACTGTAGTAAGCACTTTACAATTATTATTTGATTCTCACAAATACCATGTGATGTAGGCGCTATTAATATCCCCATTTTACACATAAAGAAACTGAGACAAACAGAGATTTAATTGCTCAGGGTCACACAAGTAGTCTGAGGCTGGATTTAGTTGTCACAAACACTCTACCAGAGAGGTGCTACTATCATTCCTACTTTTCAGATGACGAAAATGATCCTCAGAGACTTTAAATGACTATCAGAATTATATAGCTGAGGATCATAAGATCATAGCTTTAGATTTAGATGGAATATCAGAGGCTTTCTAGTCTGTCCCGTTTCTTTTGCAGATAAAGAAACCAAGGCCTAGGAAAGATACAGGATTTACCTAAGGTTGTATGTGTAGTAAGCATCTAAGGTGGAATTTGAACTGGCCCCCTGACTCTAGGGCCAATGTACTACACCACGCTGCCTCTTTATGAGTGTCTGAGGAAGTATTCCCCACTCCAAGCCCAATGCGTAACAAATACCCCATTAGTTATAGACAAAGCCTATTAGAACTTAGAGATGGGAGTCCAAGGAAGGTCATTCAAATGTCTTTCCTTCTCCCTTATGGGCAGCTGTTCTCTGTCTTGAAATGACTTTACCATCAGTTTATTGTAAATGAAACAGGCAAAAGCTGGAGAGGAAAATACAGTCTGTTCCACCACTGGCCTCAAGAGTCTTTAAAATCCACCCTCTCAGGGCTCTGAGATGAAAAGGACAAAACTTTTCAAGGTGTGTCAAACACTGCTGGAACTCACACTGTTTCCCTTTAAGAACAACAGGCTCAGCTGTAGTTAGAAACTGAGGGCAGGTGGCATGTCACCTGCCCCTGGATCCAGGGGAGATACCCTTGGAGTCCACATCAGGGAACTAACTGCAGAGAGGCTTCCTTTTATAGTTAACAACTGGTAGGAACTGTCGTCTCCAGAGTGCCATGCACTTAGAGGAAATTGGCCCAGTGGGAGAAGACACCTTTCTAAGGAAAGGCCATTCAGGTGTGGAAATGGCTGCAAAGCTCCTGCTTAGGGATTCCCTGGGGCCCAATTCTTCTGTCTCGACTCTGATGAAGTTCCCATCTAAGGAAAGGAAACCACTGAAATGAGTGATTGAAAGCAACAAGTCTTGCCTGCATAAGGAAAGAGTACTGGGTCCCTCTGTAAGCGAGTAATCCCTGTGCCGGCGGCTCGGGTAACAGTAGTGTGATATGCTGAATGCAGCTGTTGAGAGGACAAGTTGACAATGTCCCTTGCCTCAGCAGGGGTCTTGTGGGAGGACAAAACACTTTTCCTGAAGCAGATGTTCTTAACTTCTTTTTCTTTTTCTTTTTCTTGGTCTGTTTTGGCAGTCTGGTGAAGTCTATGGACCCTTTCTCATATACTGTTTTTAATCCAATCCAATCCAATAAACATTTATTAAGGGCCTACTATGTGCCAGTCACTGTGCTAAGTGCTTTTTAAAAGCATAAAATAAAATGGAAATATATAAGATCAAAAAGGAAATCAATTCTATATGATATGATTATAGATATACCACACATATGGCATATTAATATATAAATATCATAGCAATATGAGATATATATATTCCAAAGATACATATTCTTTTCAAAGAAAAGAAATACTAAACCCTTATAAATATGATAGATAGCTAAATGTACCTATCTCATATATAAGGGTTTTGTGTTCCTTTTTTTTTTTTAAATTCAGACCCCAAGTTAAGAATCTCTGATTAGAAGTTGCCTTCATAGTAGTGCCCTCCTACTTGCCACCTCTCCCGGCCTTCGGTGGTGCATGTGATCATGTTTTATTCATTTTTAAAGCTATTTTCTTGGTTGATAATGCTTATCTGAGCATGTTTCCCTCAAAACATTCTCTCTCTCTCTCTCTCTCTCTCTCTCTCTCTCTCTCTCTCTCTCTCTATTCACTCACTCACTCTCTAAACTCCAGTGACTCTCTATTACCTCCAGGATCAAATATACAATCCTCTGGTGGTGTATAAAGCCCTTCATAACCTGTGTCTGCACTCCCTCCCCCATTCCTTTCCAGTCTCCTTACACCTTCACTCATCCCCATATACTTTGAGATTCAGTGACACTGACTTCCTTGCAGTTCCACAAACATGACACTCCATCTCCTGAATGGTTGTTTTTACTGGTTTTCTCTCGTGCCTGAAATGCTCTCCCCTCTCCTCTCTGACTCCTGACTCCCCTGGTTTCCTTCAAGTCCCAGCTAAAATCCCATCTTCAATAGGAAGCCTTTCCTGATCCCCCTTAATTCTGGCGTCTTCACTCTGTTGATGCTTTCTAACTTTTCCTGAATATAGCTTGTTTGTACAAAGCTGTTTGCATGTTCTCTTTCCCCGTTAGACTGTTAACTCTTGATGGCAGAGACTGTCTTTTGCTTTTGTTTGTAATCCCTGTGCCTGAGCTCAGTGCCTAAAACATAATATATGCTTAATACACGTGTATTGACCAGCTAACTTTTTGCCAATGTGCAATTTGGCCCTGGAAGACCTAAATACTAAACAAAAGTAGCAAAAGTATGCATAACGTCTCTTTGCTTGGATGTGCATCTTTTTTTTCCCCTTACTGTTTTCCCCTCAATTATATGTAAATACAATTTTTAACATTTTATAAAAAAGTTTTAGCGTCCGAGGTAAGTGCGTGGCCCGAGGCCAGGGGAGCATGGCGGCCTAGGCACGAGGCCATAGCCTGGGCCAGACCTTCCCCGCCCCAGCCCGGCCCTCTCCCCTCCCCCGCCCCCCGGGCCTCAGCTGCTGCTTCCGTGTCCCTGCAGTCGCCACCATGCAGCTGTTTGTCCGCACACAGGCTCTGCACACCCTCGAGGTGACCGGACAGGAGATCGTCACCCAGATCAAGGCCCACATGGCATCCCTGGAGGGCATCGCCCCCGAGGACCAGGTCTTGCTTCTAGCTGGCATCCCACTGGAGGATGAAGCCATCTTGGGGCAGTGTGGGGTGGAGCCTCTGGCCCCTCTGGAAGTGGCTGCTCATATGCTAGGAGGTGAAGTCCATGGCTCTTTGGCCCAAGCTGGAAAAGTGAAGGGTCAGACTCCCAAGGTGGCCAAGCAGGAGAAGAAGAAAAAGACTGGGCATGCTAAGAGGAGGATGCAGTACAACTGAAGCTTTGTCAACGTAGTGCCCACCTTTGGCAAGAAGAAGGGCCCCAATGGCAACTCCTAATCCCCTGGTACTTTCTGTCTGTCCCCAGTAAAGCCACTATGACTCTTAAAAAAAAATTTTGAGTTCCAACTTCTATCCCTTCCTCTCCTCCCTGAGACAACAATCTGAAAGAAGTTACACATGTGTAATCATGTAAAATATTATTTTGTGCAAGATGACTCAAATAAGAAAGGAAGGAAGGAAGGAAGAAGGAAAGAAGGAAAGGAAGAAAGAAAGAAGAAAAAAGAAAAAAGAAAAAGTGAAAAATGGCATGCTTTAGTTTGTATTCAGACAACATCAGTTCTTTGGAGGTGGATGGCATTTTTTCCTTTGGGATTGTCTTGGATCCTTGTATTGCTGAGAATAGCTAAGATATTCATAGTTCTTAAACACTTTTTTTAGGCAATTGGGGTTAAGTGACTTGCCCAGGGTCACACAGCTAGTAACTGTCAAGTGTTTGGTCTGAGGCCGGATTTGAACTCAGGTCCTCCTGACTTCAGGGCTGGTGCTCTATCCACTGTGCCACCTAGCTGCTCTCGATATTCATAGTTCTTTACTGTGCAATATTGCTGTTACTGTGTACAGTGTTCTGGTTCTGCTCACTTCACTTTGCATTAGTTCATGTAAGTCTTTTGGATCTGCAATCTTACAGAGGAAGTCCTTGCATCAAGTGTGTTCAGGGGGGTTGCCAGGTCATCCAGAGAAGGGGAGCTTACCTCAAGGAATCCTCAGGTGGAAGGGACTTTCAAAACTATAAGCAACCTTCATGTACATCAAATCCAATCCACACCCAATCGTTAATCCTTTCTACAATATACATAAGTGGGGGCAGCTAGGTGGCTCAGTGGATAGAGCACCGGCCCTGGATCCAGGAGGACCTGAGTTCAAATCTGGTCTCAGACACATGACACTTACTAGCTGTGTGACCCTGGGCAAGTCACTTAATCCCATTGCCTAGCCAAAAAAAAAAAAATATATATATATATATATATATATATAAAATTTAAAAAATACAATATACATAAGAAGTGATCATCCCTCTTTCACTTATAGACATCCACTTAGGGGGAACGTGTTGTCTACTGAGAAAGTTCATGTCAGTTTGGGGCAGCTCTATGTGGGAGGAAGTTGTTCTCTACAAACTCAACCAACCTGGATATGCCTTTACAACGTCTACCCATTGCTCCTAGCTTTATCCCTTGGGGCCAAGCAGAACAAGCCTACTTTCTCTTCCCTCTGACAGCCTTTTAAATCCTGGAATTCAAGTCAAGTCTACAAGTATTTATTAAGTACCTACGCATTCCAGGTACTGTGCTAAGTGCTAGGGTTACAGTCTTGTTCAACTCTTCCTGACCCATTTGGGATTTTCATGGCGAAGACCCTGCAGTGGTTTGCCATTTCCTTCTGCAGCTCATTTTTATAGATGAGGAACTGAAGCAAACAGGGTTAAGTGACTTGGCCAGGGTCACACAGTTAGTAAGTGTCTGATGCCAGATTTGAACTGAGGAAGATGAATCTTTCTGATTTTAGGCTCACAGCAGTATCCACTGCACCACCTAGTTGTTAGAGATACAAAGAGAGGTAAAAATAGTCCCTGCCCTCCTGGAGTTCACAATCTAATGGGGGAGTTAACTCACCTATCATGTCACCTTCTTCAGCCTTACATCTCCAGTTATAGCTTTAACATTCTAAATTAGTATCCTTGAAAATTCTACCCATTGCTTCCCATTTTGTCTTCCTGTGTCAAGCAGAGAAAGCGGAATCATTCTGTAGCATTTGTTGTTGAGGCATTTCATGACTCTTCATGACCCCATTTGGCTTCCATAGCATGATGCTGTGGAAAAAGCCCTGGATTGGCATCAGAGGATCTGGATTCAAATCCCAGTTTTTCCCCTCTCACTACCTATGTCACTTTGGACAAGTAACTTGACCTCTGGGCCTCATTTAACCCCAAGTGAAAGGAAATGAAAGGGTTGGTCTGGATTGCCTTTAAAGCCCCTTCTAATTCTAAATATTTATGTAAATCAATGATCCTGTAGCCACCCTTTAAATACATGAAAACAGTTATTATGTTCCTCCCAAATGTTCTCATTTGGGATAAACATGTTCACTTCCCTCATTCGGTCAGTCCTCATATGATATTATCTTAAGGATCTTACCAAACTGGTTGCCTTTCTCTGGATATCCACCAGCTTATGAAGCCCTGCCTAAAATATGGTGCCAACAAATGGATATAACATTACAGATATGTTCTAACCAGGTCAGGGGACAGAGGGATAACACCTCCTATTCCTGAACGCTATGCCTGTCGATGCAGCCCTAGATCGCTTTGGCATTTATGGCTGTTATATTACACTGTTGAGTCATATCAAGCTTGTAGTTCAGTGAAACCCTTAGATATATTTAAAGATGACCTGCTGTCTTGTACTTGTGAGGTTGGCTTCTTGCCTCTAGATAAGGACGTTGACTAACTACAACTAGTTCCCCCATCAAAAATAGCCATACATTTGTTTCCCAACTAGAATTTCCTCTCAGTATGTGACTATTTGATAGCCTCTTTTCCAAATGTCCATTCCTTATTTTAGCCTCACGTTATTAAACCCTAACAAGTGTTTCTTTCCATGCACATTATCTCCATTCCTCTGTTCTCTGTCTTTTTCTTCCACACAGAAGTGACCCTTTAGAGGAATTTTCTATCCTGCTCAAAATAAACCTTCTAATTAATATTCTTCAACTATTCCCTCTAGCCTAGATGCTACTTTCTACATTAAGCAGTCATTTGGCCTCAAGCATCTTTGCATGATCCATAGACCCTCTCCTATCAACTACATATCCTGAGTTTCAACTGTCTCATTTCAATCTCTTCATTTCTCTCATGTTGTGTTGTTGATGGCAAGTTGTTATTAGCAATAAATTACAAATGAGCGAATGAGCAAGCATTTATTACTAAACATCTACAGTGTGGGGCAGCTAGCTGGCAAAGTGTATAGAGCACTGGTCTTGGAATCAGGACGTTTCATCTTCATGAATTCATATCCAGTCTCAGACACTTACTAGCTGTGTGACCCTGGGCAAAAAACTTAACCCTGTTTGCCTCAATTTCCTCATCTGTAAAAATGAGCTAGAGAAAGAAATGGCAAACCACACCAGTATCTTTGCCAAGGAAACCCCCCCAAAAAAGGGGTCATGAAGAATTTGACATGACTGAAACAATTGAATGATAACAAACCTAGAATGTTCCAGGCATTGTGCTGGATATTTGGGAGTACAAATTTCGTTCACAAGGAACTTACTGGAGGAGATGGAATGTAGGATCATAGGATCATAAATTTGGAATTAAAAGGGACCTAGAGGTCACCTAGTCTAACTCCTTTCTATTGTTGAGGAAATTGAGACCCAGAGAGATTAAATGACTCGCCTAAGGTCACACAGATTCGTTAACTAACTAGCAGAGCCAGGCATCTAACTGGATTCTCTAACTCCCAAACCAATGATCTTTCAGAAAATAAGTCATAGAGATTGTGAGTGCAGCCACAGGACACTCAGTTATCATCCCTTTCCAATGGCAATGGTTGCAGTGATTTAATTATTGTTCTCAGAGCAAGGGCAAGGGATGGAAGGGGATTGAATCGGTTAATGTAATGCCTATCTACAGTGACAGGACAAATGGCAAAATACCCAGATTGAGTAGGACACGGCTTCCATTGTTTTTTGGTGGATGGATAGATGGGATGGAAAGCATGCTCAGCAGCCAGCTGGATATAGTAGATTAGATGAGTTTTCATTCATTCAACAGACATGATAGTTTAGTCTTAAGGCAGAGTGCCAAAGATGAGTGGACTTATTCTCCCAGGTAGGGTGGGTAATAGGGGGGTGGTTTCTGGAGCTAGAAGTTTCTGTTCTTGGTGGTGAGAAAGGGTTGTTGTAGCAGAACATGTGGCAAGATGCTTGCCCTGGGTAGTCTGTAATTTCCTTGTAGATGGCTGTATAGGAACAAGAGGGGAAAAAAGTCTCAAAAATAGGCTCCAGATAGTAGAATGGAATGGAAAAGTACTGGGACTAAAATCAGGAAAATCAGTTTCTGCTTTGAAAGAGCTCAAATTCCAATTTGGGGAGACAACATATATAGGAGAGTTCAGTTGCATGGAAGATAGAAAGGCCCAGGGTTCCTTAGGGTTTAGCAGTGGGCAGGCAGATGACAAGGGTGAGGGGTCATCAGGGTTCCAGTGGGATCTCAGTGAGCAGGGAGAAGAGTGGGGCCACTGGGGAAGCTTCTATAAGTCTGGTGGACTTTGGCCTCTGGTGCCTTCTGGCTGCATCTGATTTGGTGGGGTTCAGGCTTTAATAATAATTTAATAATAACCTTTCTTTCTATTTAACTGTTGGCTTTATGGTAGATTCCGTTGACCTTCAGTTTAGAGTCTAAAGGCTTCTGGTTCTTTTAATGACATTTATGTTACAGGCAATCGAGGACTTCTCTTTGAAGCTGGAGATGTTCAGGAGGGCCTGGATCTCACCAACACCACCCCTGGCTACAGATGGCAGATTGTTCCCAATGCCAGCTCTCCATTCGGATTCTGGTCAGAGGCAGGGCAACGTTTTAGGTATGTGATAGATTTTGGGAAATCCATGACATTACAAGCAAGAAACTTGAAATGAGAAAACGAAATATGTGTCCTTTTAAGGGGAGGGTAAGTGAGATTCTAAAAGCATCTTTTTGTTTGTAAAGCTATTTACCTACCTGATAAGGATAGCCTTGGTGCCACTTGGCCTTGGGTATACTAATTAGTCACTAGTTAGGACTGTGCTGTAGCTGGCTTCTACTGGAAGACATAATAATTATTACATTTTCAATGTGAACATGTACACTTTGGAAATCAGCAAATCCTACAAATCAGGACTTGATTTATTATTTTGTTGATTATTTTGACTTAAGGTGGAGAAATTGTTAACAAAAATGAAGATTAAACTGAAAACTGTGATACTATACATTTCCCCCCCCCTCCTCTGGAGAACCTCTTGTTAACACTTTTACCAGCACACCGTAGCATTAGCTAGTTGAATAGCGATAGAATTTAGTCTCTTAGGCTAGGGGGTGCCACCCTTTTTGTGGCTGAGGACATTTTTGATGTCAACATTTCATGGACTAACGCAAGATTGTAGTTAGATTATTAACATCTGTACTTGAGAGAGAGTATGATGCTGGAGGCTGGACTCAGAGAACCTGGGCTCAAATCTCATCTTAATGACTAATTATGTGACCCTGGGCAAATTTCTTAACCTGGCCTCCATGAACTTGTTTGGTTAATGAAAAATATATTTTGATATCTGCATTCTAATATAATTGGTTTCCTTTGTAATCTTAGGTATTTTATTTTATGCATTTAAAAACATTATCCTGAGAAAGGGGTCTATGGATTTCATTGGACTAAGGCTTTACCAGCCTGTCAGAGAATGTGACGTGAAATTAAAAATCTCTGACATAACCTCTCCATGTTCCCCCATGCCCAAATCTGGGCTTTTCCTTTTGCTGTGATACAGTAGTCATGCTCATTCCTACACCTGTTAGCCC